ATTCGAAATTGCTTGTACATTAGTGGCATGCCTTTTTGATTACAAATGATTCACTAAATCTGATTTTTTAGCACCCATTATTTGATTACAAGCTTTACATTTTGCTTTCAACTTGTCATTTTCAATAGGTCCCAACCAGCCTTTAAATAACGGATCTTCTAGCCATGATGAAGTAAACATTTGTTTTCGTGTCTTTTTCTTAACAGGTTGCTCTGGCTCTTGGTTATCCTGAGATTCGCAAATCGAATTATCAGGCTCAGACCTGATTCCACTAGATTCCGCTCTTCTATTTTGTCTGTATTCAGGTTCGGGATGCTCCGAGTTCGACCCAGATGCAGTCGAAGTGGATGGTACGGCCACGTTTGGTTTCACCGTTTGTTTTTTAGAAGGATTTTTATCAAAAAAATCGTTAATGGTCTGCTGTCGCCTTTCCATTATTCCTATTTTCCAGAAGAAAAAGCGTTAAAAACAAATTTCGCGACTAAGATTTATTTCTGGATCAAACTATAATATGTTAGATATTCAAGCAGTTTTGTTACTTACCAGTAGATTTAATATTAAACCTGCAGCAAATGATATATCAATAAAATGATCAACACAAAAATAAGAACACTAATATAAACGAAACTAAACAGTATATACCCAGAGCTGAAAAATACAATACAAAGCGAGAAACCTAATATTATGTCTGCCTGCTGAGACCTGTTAGAAACGATTAGTATTGAAAGCAGTACATACGCCATCTGTTATTGAAAAAAAGGCAAGTGGAATAATTCTCTTCTCTGTTCCTAGATGGCTCAAGCGGCACCAAATGCACCAATTATTATTAATGTGATAATAAATCAGACTCTAGCCACTGCCTATTTAGGATTTAGAACGTTATTAACGTTAAAACAGTGAAATAAATATGATAGTTTTGTATGTAATAAATTCCGCTACATTTTGGGCTAATTTGCTCTACCGCCGCTACGCCGCTCTTCTCAAAATAATCCGCTACAAATAGCGGAATTCCGCTACGTATGGCAACACTGCATATATGAGAGGTGCTTGCCTGCGGTGTTGCCGGATTGGCTCCGTATTTAGGGAAAAATATGAAAAGTGGAAAATATATATACATTTATATTAATGAAACACAAAAACAAAAAACTGAAACCAACAACAGTAGTAAAACCAAAAGTGATTTTTACTAAGTACAAAACAAAAAATAATAAGCAGCAGTAAAATAAAAAGCAATTCTAAGTGATCATAAAAAACAAGAAATTAAAACAGTAGTAGCTTTTTACTTTACTGCTGTTTGTTATTTTTTGATTTTTATAATTACATGGAATTAGTGTTTGTTTTACTAGTGTTTTTATTTTTTGTTTTTTATAATTATTTATAATTTATCATTTTTTAGCTTACTACTGTTATTTGTTGACTTATACTTATTAGGAATCGCCTTTTATTTTGATACTGTTGTTTGTTTCAGTTTTTCGTTTTTGTGATTCATTAATTAATATACATATGTATATCAATTTTCAAACAAGTCTATAAACTTGTCTATACAGGGTTATCCAAATTAAGTGTCCACCATTGGTAACTTTGTTATTAGTAAAAATACAAAGTTGTTTAAATTAGCAAACTAGTAGCATTTTTAACGCTGGTAAAAATGAGAAATAAAAAAAAACAATTGAGAGTCGTTATTTTGATTTTTTTCAGTAAAATAACATTTTTTTAAATGGAAACCCCTGTATATTATATTTTTTTCTGTTAAAGCATCAAATTTTAAACAAAAAAGTTCATAATGACTTTTCCGCTAAAGTCAAAAATAAAGTCAAAATAACGATAAATATTTTTAATTATTTGCAGTATTATAATATTAAGTCGGCTATGAAAACAACATGGCGTTCGCGATTTGACAGCATTAAGATAAGCGACAAATTGTTAAACTGGACATACTCGCAACTAGAAGGCTTTGGAAAACAATGATAAAATCAAATAATGTCAAACATTAGTGTAAATACTGGTTTATAAGCTTTATTGTGTCATTAATTTAAAGAAAAATGTTCTCCCATGAAGAAAAGTGTGATATGTTAGAATGCTATTTAGTGTGCAGAAAATCCTCCTTGAGAGCAAGAGAATACTACAGTGAATTATATCCCGCTCGCATTCAACCGTATGAACGATATTTTCTGAGACTTTATCGAAAATTTAGGGGCAACGAAAATGTTTTTGCTAAAACAAGGGCAAAAAAAGAATTCATAATAAGCGAGGCCACGGAAATTGCAGTTATTGGATATTTTGAAGCTTATCGTGAGAATTCAATAGCAGATATTCTCAAGGACTCTAATTTCAGTTATGGTACTGTTCAAAGGATTTTAAAAAAATACAAATTTATTCTGTATAAGTACCGACCAGTTCAAACGCTTTTGTCAGGGGATCCAGAGAGAAGACTTGTTTTTTGCCATTGGTATCTTAGCTTCTGTCGCCAAAATGTAAATAACTTTCGTTACCTTTTATGGACAGATGAATCAAATTTTTCAAATTCTGGAATGTTTAATAGAAAAAACCACCATTATTGGTCAAGAGAAAATCTTTTGTTAGTACATCCAAGAGGCCCACAAGTCCGTTTCAGTTTCAACGTTTGGTGCGGTATAATTGGTTCAAAAATTGTTGGCCCGTTCTTTTATGAGGGAACCCTAACTGGTGAAAGATATGTGGAATTTATGTCAGAAATTCTGACTAATTTCTTAGACGAATTGGATCTTATAAGTAGACATCATCTGCATTTTCAGCAAGATGGCGCACCTGCCCACAACTCCAGAGGTACTTATCATTTTCTAAGTACTACTTTTAATGATCAGTGGATAGGAACAAATGGCCCAATACAGTGGCCTCCCAGATCACCAGATCTAAACCCACTTGATTACTTCTTGTGGGGTTACTTAAAGAACCAAATTTACAAGCGAAGGTACGATAACATTGACGCGTTAAAGACTGCAGTTAGGGAAAAGATAACCCAGATAGATGGTAGGACCATACTTAAGACAGTTCGAGCAGTTGAAAAACGTGCCCAAAAATGTATTGAAGAACAAGGTGGTGTTTTCGAGCATCTTCTTTAAAAAAAATTGTTATTGTATTTTGTAAGATTATAAGTTGATGTTGAAAATAAAGTTTGTCGATACAATTTAATTGTTTCAGATTGGAGGCCATAACTTCAACAATTTGTAACCTAGGAGAAAAGTTATTGTAAGCTTTTTTGTTTAAAATTTGATGCTTTAACAGAAAAAAATATAATATACAGAGGTTTCCATTTAAAAAAATGTTATTTTACTGAAAAAAATCAAAATAACGACTCTCAATTGTTTTTTTTTATTTCTCATTTTTACCAGCGTTAAAAATGCTACTAGTTTGCTAATTCAAACAACTTTGTATTTTCACTAATAACAAAGTTACTAATGGTGGACACTTAATTTGGATAACCCTGTATATACTAAGTGACATATAAATCCGAACACCCAGTTTAAATGGTTTTATTTTAATAAAAGTTGGTGAATGTATTTATCTTACTGTAAATAACAAGTGAAAAAATTTTCAGCCTTATCAGTTGGACATTCCGGTTTTTATACTGCTTTTTTTTAATTCACTCACGCTCTAAAAATGAATATTTCAGCTGCAGTAAACAATCAACGTTGGCGGATTTTGGTTCTAGACATCCTTTACGATCGGTTACGATGTACGGAGACCTGTACGATCTCGTCAACTTAGTGAGTTTGATAGGGGCCGTATAGTGGGACTTCGGGAAGCTGGACTTTCTTTTCGGGCAATTGCAGTTAGAGTGCAAAGAAGTGTAGACACTGTGGTTAGGTGTTGTCAGGCATGGCTTCGAGAAGGCCGTACGCAAAGAGCAAGGGGCACTGGACGCCGCCGTAGAACAACAGACCGTGAAGATCGCCGCCTAAGATTATTGGCCTTAAGGGACCGTTTCTCCACTACCAGGTCCATTGCAAATGAATGGTTTACAGAACACGGAAGACCTATTGGCATGCGAAGTGTTTACCGACGAATGAGAAGTTTTGGCTTGTTTTCATACCGGCCACACTGGGTCCTCCCTTTAACTCGAGAACACCGACGTAATCGCCTTGAGTGGTGCAGACAACGGTCACTCTGGGATCAGGAATGGAACAGTATTGTCTTTAGTGACGAGTCGCGATTTTGTTTAGGCATGCACGATGGTCGTGCCAGGGTTAGAAGGCGACGTGGTGAAAGGAGGAATCCACAGTTTTTTGTTGAAAGACATGTTCATCACACTGTTGGAGTTATGGTTTGGGGTGCTATAGCTTATGGTTCCAGGTCACCTTTAATCTTCATCAGAGGTAACATGAACGCGCAGCGTTATATCCACGGAGTTCTAGAACCCCATCTTTTACCCTATCTTGACACCCTGGCAGATCCAACTTTCCAACAAGATAATGCCCGACCACATGTTGCAAGAGTCACAATAGACTTCTTTCAACATAATGATGTCACATTGTTACCATGGCCACCAAGATCTCCCGACTTATCCCCAATTGAGCACGTATGGGATATGATGGGTAGGAGATTGCTCAATTTGCAACGTCCTCCTCAGACTCTAGAAGCACTTTGAGAGGAGTTGGTGGTTGCCTGGAATGAGATACCACAGGAGGACATTGACCACCTGATCAGAAGCATGCCTAGGCGCGTTGGAGAATGCGTAGCACATCACGGTGCATCCACACATTATTAAAGGTCAAAGGGCTTTAAAGCAGTGCAATCATTTTGAAATTTTTATCATTTACTTATTATGCTTCATTAAGTACTTATACAAAATTTTATTAAAATAAAACCAATTAAACTGGGTATTCGGATTTATATGTCACTTAGTATAGTTTATAGACAATTTTGGTGTACAACCGGTCGCTCGGACGGAAATTAAAGGAAGTAAAATTGTCTAATTGGTTGCACCGGTGGCTCAACCGGTGAATTGAAAAATACCTCTGTAGTGTTTTGCTGTTTTGTTTTCTACTTGTCAAACTCAAGGTCTCAACATAACCTCACTTTACGCATTTAATGATTGGGATAATTTTATCCAACGGAAAATAATATGGATAAGGTAGTAGAAAAGACTGCTGTGGATTATGCTAAATACTTAGACGTAAATTTACCATCAAAGGTAAGTATTTTTACAAAGAAATTCACTATAACCAAATTACCTATGAAATAGTTTCAGCCTCTGCAAACCTCCATAGATGAAATTTTGGCCAGACTAGAAGAGTTCCAAACAATGTTGTCTTTTATCGCAGGAGATAGAAAGGATTACAATGATATAATAGCTTCTATACCAAACTACAAACCTCGATTTGATGATATGTTCAAAAGGATTGATGTACTAGAAGTTTTGGTAGCACATATGAAAGATAACATGGATACACTTGAAAGTAATATTGAGAAGGCAGAGGCTGAGTTGGGTATAAATGAACCTGCAATGAAAGTTCCAAGTATATTTACACCTTTATTTGTAAGAGATGTTTGAATTTGCTTAGACAGTTTCAATAAATAATCTTTCTCTTGTTTTTAGAAAAAAAGCACTTCATCAGAGAGAAGCCCTTCAAAAGGTATGGAGATCTTTCACACTGAGGATTACTTCAAATGATACCATAAATGTATGTGGAAATAGTTTCCAACAAAACTTGTGTGATAGTTTTTCATTTATATTTTTTTATTGCTACTCTCATAGATTATTCTTATTTTGTTGATTTGCTTAAGCAAGACGGTAAAGTAGGGCTGTCATCTGTCTGGGGACCATCACGAAGAGATTTTTAAAAAGTAACTGAGGATTCCCTGGAGAATTTTTGTCACAGGGGTTTTGAAAAGTAATACGCATGGAAAATGTGTTGCTGAATGAAAATTGAAAAAATCTCGGTTCCACCCAAATGTTCAGGGTTTTTGAAGCTTTTGTCTGGTATCGCTAATTTTGGTGATGGCAGCCCTGTGCTGGTATAATGCATGAGTATATGTTGGTAAAAAGTATATTTGAGCATCAGTAGTTGCCTAGAAAAGATTAGGATTTGAAAAAGTGTAAATGACCAAATCTATATACTTTGCCTTGCTGCATGAATTGTTTTAATATAATCAGTAGTATTATTTAAGAGCACTCCATTTATATGTATATTTTCTGCAATAAACTTTTTTTTTATTTCGATTCATTTTATTTTCTGGCACAGAATATATCAAGCTTTTAGTCATCTCCCTCTGTAAGTTAGATATCAACCTCAAAGTCAAACCATATCTACCGTTTTTCTACAAAACGCTCAATTTCTACAATGTTTTTTATCCCTTAAACATCGATTTATATGGCCATCCAAAATGTGCAGGTTTATCATGCTTTCAATAAACAGGAGCATGTGGCTGTATTTTGGTAGTAGATATATGTCATTGTTTGGTTGTTATAACTACCCTTTGCATTGAGGATCACTTAGGCCCGTATCGTCAGTCATACCTACAATTGTAGGGTGCGTTTATGGCCTCCTTGATTGGCATACTTTCTCTCCTTCAAAAATTTCTAGATTTCACTTGTCCCGTGTCAGCGTCAGCGCTCTCCAATTGTGAAGATATGTTTTCTTTTTAGATTGTAGGAAATTTCAGGCTGATAAAACATGATATAACTCAAAAGCAAGCACAATTTGATGCAAATAGATGTTTGTGACATAACCTCAAAATAGAGCGCTAACACGGAGAAGTAGAAAACTATGACAATCGAGGAGGCCATAAAGGCGCCCTACAATTGTAGGGACGACTGACGATACGGGCCTTAGCTAATGTATCAAAACATCTATTTAAAATTCAGTTAATAGGTATAGTACAGGTTAGACAAAAGATTATTCCAATAACCCTAAAAACAAAAATACATATATTGTGTTTAACGAACGTTATTCAGTGATTTACTGATAACATATCAGTACACGACAAACTAAGAGTATATACAGCAACAGCTAGTTGGTTTCTGGGTTGACAGACTTACAAACTGACACTGTGACTCAAGAGCTAAGGCCCCACGGGCCGCTCTGACAAGCGACGATGACGACTTGACTGACCAATGGCTAGGAGAATGATTTTTAATTCTTAAGAAAGCAGTTGTAACTATGGAAATGCAAAACTTAGAAGCTAGACTACATTTGGAACTTTTGCCAGAGAGGCTAACTGCTGACAATTTAGCCAAACATGTAAGTGAGGGCAAATGGGTTGTTATTCAACCAATAGTGAGGCGAATGATGCGCAGCAAGGTACAGGAGGACAAAAATTGACTAAGGAAACGACGTGTACATTCATAACTGCCCGGTACGACCGCTTCTTTGTCCCGAGGGTTTCGAGATTGTGCCTTCGCGGCTACTTCGGTGAAAAAACAATAGGTTTCTATTTGTCAGGTTACGCATGCACACACACGTATGTGCATGACGCTAAAAATACCTTTGGCATGAAAACGACGCGACGCTGCCCACCATGACGAAATACTCACGTGGTGAGTTTGATACAATTCACTGTCGAGCTTTTCTGCCTGGTTATAAAAGCTCTCTTATGTTAAAAACAACCTTCGTTCCGAATCTCTGTCTTCAGACACTTTCTCTAGGATAAGGTTTATCTTTACTCAGATAATTGACACATGTTTATTTAGTTTGCAGTAAGGCCCGTGAGAATACCCGATAGTGGTCTGAGTCTACCTGCTACTAGGGCCGTCTTCAGTTACGTAGGGGCTTCTGAGCACACAAGAAGCTCGGGCCCGGCAGTGAAAAGGCCCCAGGCCAAAGACATTCGGGGCCCTGCTTTGTTGGGGAAATTGAAGAGCAAGTGGAGGGGGTGCCCAGACATTGTTTTGATATTCCCTTTGATTTGAGGATATTTGGGGGACTCCTATGGAGTCGGGTCCCCTGTGCCCATACGATAAAGTCGGAATAGCTGCTAGCTTAGGTTCGAGGTTGATGATGCATGACCCTTCTAATCATGTGATATCATTATTCTGAAACATAAGTGTCGAGGTACCTAGAATAGTCGCATCTTTAATTTTATCTTGGGAGTTTTCACCACAACAGGGGCTACATAACTGCTCCCAGAACATAGAGGGTGAGTTTTTAGTGTGGGCTCGGTCGATAATTCAAATTTCTTTATTACCGACTAAGTATTAATAACAAAGACACTAGCGTCAAAACATATACGGAACGTACGTCCGTTATTACGTATGGCATCTAAAAAATCATATCCATCAGCAGACTTCTGATTTGAAAAATGGTTTTATATTTATAGGGTGATTGATAACTACGGGGTGACCCATAAATACATTTTTCGAAATTAGTAGCCACATATTGCAGATTTGGATAGGCCATTCCAAACGAAGCAATTTGATATATCAGACTAAAGGGCCTGCTTTGAAATCGTTGAGATTTTGGAAAATCTATGGAAAGAAACACTCGACTTTGACAACTCGGACCTCCGCAATTGCTTTAGTTAGAGTACTGAATTTTTCGTCAAATAAAATTATGATCCAATATTATGTGTCGAAACTATCTCGAGGACAAGTTACTGCTTCGCAAAAAGCATTTAATGATCGATTACCCTTCTCTAATGGACGGCCTGGCTACACTTTCGCACCGATGGGCCGATAGCGATCCATCTACACGCCAACGGGCTTTGCTCCTCAGAGCTTTCCTCCATCATATCCCATCCCATCCTAACCGTATCGAACTTCGTACTTCCAGAACTGACCGATAAGACCGCTCCTTTGTTCCAATGGTGTTGAGATCGTAGAACAATCTTCATGAGGAGCTTTTCCAGTTCTACTAACCTTGGGCAATTCAAAAATAGGAATAACAAAGTTTCCTCATAGTAGCCACGGTGCCCTGGCATGTAGGCTTAACCTGCGCGACTGCTTCGGTGTAAAAAAACTGAGCTATATAACAAGAAGATGACGACCTTGAAGATCTACTGGAGGACAGAATAAAACCCAAAAACCTGAATTTTATGGAGAAAACAGTGCCGCAATTCAACAGGAACATTTTCGGGTGAGCAGAAAAAATATCAATGAAATTCCATTTTAAATAACAGGAAGCGCCAAAGTGCTTTGTACTCAATATTTTGTTTATTGATCCTGTAGTAGAGGACAAAACTTTCAAGAACCATAATTAATACGATTTTTTGTGATCACAAATCTTTCGAAAAATTTTGTTACACTTATAAATGCAAAATTACGAAATTTAAGTCATACTTCTATGTATTTTCGTAGTCTCAGTTATTTTCGTTTATGTTGGGAACCCTGTGAAACTTATAACTATGTAAACAGATCTTGATAATTGTAGTTATGTGCAGCTGTTTTAGCTTTTTAGTGTATAAGAACACCCTTTGTTATTCAAAGACGTTATCAAATCCTTGTATTTTTACTTCTTTCTTCTAGTGAGAGTCTGCATATACAGGGTGTTTCAAATTCGACACTCTCCATTGGGATCTTGGAAACGGAAACGAAGGGAAACGAAGTCGCTTAAATGAGGTAGTGAGCAAAATGACACTTATAAAGTTTCGAAATTCAAAGTACTTCCAGAGAGTGACGGCAAAAGTGGATTTTCTGAAAATCGTTTTGATTTTTTCCTGACTTTATTTATATTGGGATTTTAAAATAAATTGCACATCAACATTCTTCTCTTGTCCTCAAGCATCAACTTTATTATTTCTTAAGGCCGCTATGTTGCATTTTGCACATATAAATTAGTTTTTGATTTTGATTCGAAAAATAGGCCACACTTTAGAAAAACAGAATTGTAGGCCTTGAAATTATCAGATATTTGTTTCGCTCACCAAATTTATCCCAAAACAAACCATTGTTAAGCGGAATCGCACAGCAACCCTCTGTTGCACGACTCAGTGGACTACACAGTGGAACAAGTTGGTAAACATACAAGGCCACGGCTCTCATTGTAATAGAAAAAATTTAGCACACTTTTAGTAAACCCAAAATTATATACTAAAAAAACCTAAATCAAACCTTGTTTTGAGTTCACCTCAAAATTAATCCCTGTACCAAGTTAAAAACCCTAGGTGTTTCCGCTTAAACTGATACACTTCTATTTTTGTTTTTTGTCCCTGTTTTTTATATGTCCCTTTCTCTTTGCCCTTGACATTGTCTGGTTTCAGGGCAACCAGGACTGATAGATTCGGTTAAGGTACACTAGACAGTGACTAATGGGCAAAGATCCTACGAATCTCCCAGACAAACAAATGACGAATAGTTAAACTGTCAGAAAAACTGAAAAAGTATGTAGATAGGAACAAAACATGTGGATCATAAAATGACTAAACATTCAGTACTCTAGCTATAAGATTTACAGGTGCAAGTTATCAAAGTTCAGTTTTTTTTATAGAATGTCCAATCTCTCAACTGTCTGAAAATAAAACCAATTTGCATTACTTGCTCAGTTATTGTTTGTCCAAACAGCTCAGGAAATATTTAAAGTTGTGTTATTTTATTACATATAATCTATTTCTTAAATAGTGTAGTTTATTTCAAGATTCTTAATTGTTAAACAAATATCTATTGTTTTATAGGAGGGTCAGACTGACCCTTGAGTAGTGGCAGTCTGAGATTTATTTTAAGTAATGGCCAATGGTTAATGAAATTCTATTCCGAATTTCGTAACAATATACAAACACATAATTAAATACGAGATGATTTTATAGCTTTTATACGGTGTAATGTAAATTATTATATTTTCTTGAGATAACATTAATCTTGGCAATTCCGGTAGCGAACGCAAACATTATAGTCATGTAATCCTGGATAAAATTTCCGAGACAATTCAGGGTACCTATGTGCCAGCGTATATTGCTTAAGATGTGCCTGCAGCTTGTTTAAACGGCAATGCACCTGGCCGGGCAACATGTTGCAGACCGTTGCGCAACATGCATTCGTCATATTTACTTCCACATCTAAACAAGTTTGTCCACACAAAGCTGCCGTGCACGTGTTGCAAACTGCGACAAGTGGCGGCGCATGTTCAACATGAACACAGCTTTCTCAATTTTTTTTTTCAGTTCCTACCCTACTCTGCGAGGAAATATTGTACTTGCGAAAAATTCCAATAATAAGATATCATGTTTCCTCATTTAAGTCGGTCTGTCTGTCAGTATGTCTATCTGTCTGTCTATTAGACTGATCGGTCTATGATTTGGAGAGTACTGCTCGGGTTTGGATTAAATTTTTACACGAGGCTACTACTACGCCAAAGACGACCGAGCTTTGTAGTTTTTGAAAATTAGTCCACTGGCAGCAGAGAAAGAGACTAAAAAAATAATAATCACTCAAACGTCGTTTTTTGACGTTTCAGAGGATACTAATCATTTTTGAAAGAAATTTATAAGGTCAAAAAATTAGGGTTGCATCAATTTTTTGATGTTAGTATATTTATACGCTTCCAACCCCGGTAATTCTACGCCCCTATTAGCCACAGACGCGCCTCCTGCTGTCAGAAGTTTTTCTAAATTAAAAGTATTCAAAATATTTTAAGACTTCTATGAGGCAACTTTGACTATCAAGCATGGGACTATTTGCAGAAGCTGAACATCATTTAAAAGATATTTGATTAACCTTCAAGCTGTTCAGTAAATTGTAATGCATTTAAAAACAAACTTTGGGACAATCTAAAAGCTGTTTTAATTTTCACTCACAACACCGCTGCGAAACAAAACACATTTATCTGATTTTCGCATTCGCAGTAAATCCCGCTTATAAACCGTGATCCTTTCAAAAAATAGAAACGTACCTTAAATAACGAGATGAGTAGAAAATATCTCCGAGGATAGAATCGTTTTAGGTTAAAATATTTGCATACTGGGCTATAAAACTTTTAAGCATATCAGCAATTTCGTGAGCTGCGTGCAAAGATACAGACACAGCGAGCTTGCCAAAATATTAACGTGATACTATTGAGAATATAAAATAAACTACAGTTCACGTGATTCGTCCGACAAATTCGAACTCTCTGAATTTGGCAGCCGCGCAACATTGTGATAGACGTCAAATTCATCATTTTTCGGCTAACGTTTATAGTGAAATCATGCATAGTATTTCGGAGGGCCCAAACAGAGAAGATAAAGGTAGCACTCACTTGGAAGAACCGGAAATAGGTAAGAAAAGCGAAGTTTATCAGGCTATGACTTACTAAGACATCTCGGAATTGTTGCATGATACGTTGGTCAAGTTAGCTGTAATCATTTATTACTTATGTTTCATATAAGAAGTGTACCGTTTTGTTACTTTATGTCGAATAAGTTTTGCGGTGCGGCTCTGCCGAACATTGACTGATTAAAATACATTACCTTAAAATCGAACTTTATCTATTTGTGAAAAATCGATTTTAGAAGAAATGAAGATCGATTTTTGTGAAAGAATGGACCAATAGTGCTTCGACAGAGCGTTGCTCCTAGACCAGAACTTTTCAAAATAATCTATGATTGATGTATATGGTATCTAAGGACTCATTTTAAAAATACTCAGCACTAAAGGGTGTCCCAAACTTCAACTACGCATGAAGTTGTCTTTTTCAAATCGAATTATGTTTTTATACCCAGTATCACTCGCACTATCAAGACAAATCTAAAGACACTTCATATGTCAAAACCCATCAAGCGTGAGTTTTGAGGTTGAATTTTTTCATTAAAATCCTCTATTTTGTTTTTATAAAATGTGAATATATCCAGTGGCATTCGCACTACTAAGCGAATCCAACAACACCTCATTTGTCAAAATGCGTCAGGTAGTTTGTTTTGTCCACATATATACGATCAAAAACATGACCCTACTTCTGAGGCAGTCGGGTAAAATGTTTTCTCAGTCCTCATTTCATTTTTATAAACCTATTTATTGACAAAATTTCATTAGTTTCTACAGGGTGATCTTTAAGCAATTTGTGAAGCTGAATACAAATATGTACTTCAAAAAGAAGCGAAATGTCTAATGATTAAATTTGAGGAATACAATGGGTGGTTTGGGACTCCCAGTATTCTACAGTCAATTTGAAATCTACACATCCGATTTACACAAGGAACAAGTTTGTATGTTATGTATGTCCCCCGTTATTACTAGCGGGTAATTTGGGACACTCAATACTAGTGGACCCGTCAAAAAAAAAACGTGAATTGTGTCGAACTATGGTGTCAAGATTTTAGAACAATCTGCCCGAGGATGTTTTTATCAGTTCTGATAACATTGGGCAGTTAAAAAATCGGATTAACATAGTGTTTTTAAGTCCCTTATAACAGTCGCGGTGCCCCGGTATTTAGGTTTCTACCTACGTGACTGCTTCAGTATTAAAAAATCCAACATCTCTATTCTAGATGTCAAGAGGGCAACATTTGAGGAAGCTGTCGAAGAAACTGGGTTCGGGAAATTCAACCTAGTCTTGCTTTTGGTGCTTTTCTTTCCATGTCTCTCTCAAGTTCTCGAGACTGTAAACATATCATACGTCTTGCCTATAGCACAGTGTGATCTAGGTATATCTCTAGAAGACAAAGGATTCATTATCAGTGTATCCTTCATAGGTAAATATGTTGCATCAGCAAAATTATAAGTAGGTAAATAAGTAATACAATGAAAGTAATCCAAAATGAATAATTTTATCTAAAGCCGGACGGTAAAATGTGCTTTATGAATATATAGGGTTTTGGGTCATTCAGTTCCACTTTTCAGGCCACGAACTCCATATAGTCCGCGCGTGGAGGGGGGTGTTCTGGAATATAGCAATTGACATTTTTTAGTTAACATAATAATAATAATGTCGTGAAGCTAGGACCATGCGACAATGAATGACGCGTTTGACATTTTGTCACCGTTCGACATAATGGCAGATGACAAAGTAAAACTTTTTTCTACCAGCATGCTGAAAATGCCTCTTTCCTCGCGTATTTCAGTTTGGAAAGGGTCACTTTTCCGCACGGCGTACCGAAAAGTAACTTTGTAGTAAAGTGTAAAGTAAAAATGTCACCGGGTGTTAAATTTAACCATTGTTATCAATATATCATTGTCAACATAAATGAAATTGAGCTGTCGCATTCTGAAGGCTGAATGAAATTGTTACTAGGTTAAATTGCTACAATGTATTGAAGTTTTTCTTGTTACGCGCTGGTTGAAAAAAGTTGTTCCTAACTCTTGCAGAGAAGTATCACTGTCCGCGCTTGATAAGAAAATAACTATTTTCTCCGTTCTCGACTACCTTTTCCAGCACCGGCACGGGTATTACGTATCTTGAGAAGTGACGTTTTGACGTTTTCTTTGACGTTTCGTAGATTTTTTGTCACATTACGTATGTTTTTCTACAAGATGTTAACTTAGCACAAGCTGTTGTACACTTGTTGTAACTTGTTTTGTAGCTGTACGTGTTGCTTAAACGTCAGCGAACAGCGATCGTGGCGAGCAAACGTGGAATAAACTATTTGCACACTAAAAACTACCTAGTCTGCAAGATGACATTTCGTCGTTTTTTCCCGTTTTTCAGGTTTTTTACATAATACCCCTGCCGTGCACTTTTTACATTTTTTCGCAGTTAAGAATGAATTTAATGTTAAACGTCAACAACTGTCGTCGACTTAAGTCTCGACGTGTAGTATAAATTGAATTTTGTTACTGAGTTCATAATTTTGGTTACAAATTGCAAATGCTTGCTCCTTCTACCAAGTCCAAATTCGTTGGTCGCATACGACACCGATGTCGAAACATCCCTTGGCGTTATACGTCGAGAGCCATTAACACTCATTTCATTTCCCAGACTCATAAATAACTATTCTAGGTATGGTGGTTAGTGGATTCTTTTGGGGAGTGTTAAGCGACTCTTTTGGAAGAAAAAAAGTGTTAGTTTACGGATACTTTCTGAACGCCTTTTTTGCTATGATCGGTGCCTTTGCTACATCGAAAACTATGATCATAATCGCAAAATTCTTTGGAGGATTGATGTAAGTATTCCATTTAGGCCCGATTTTTCTATTGACCTGCAGGAATCAAAATGTATGCATTTGGCACAAATTGGACCAATAAAAAAGCGTCTTTAAGTAATGGTTCTAATGAATTTGGTCGACTTCTTCTATAATTTCTCTCAAACTAGAGAAAAATTATATGATTTGGATAAGATGGGTTCCTAATTCCCAGATTAAATCATGAAATACCTCATATATCTCATGCCTCAGCCACAAAAACCTATTTTTGTGTCTGAACACAAAACTGACGCAGATTCCACCAATCAGAAAGAAGCATTTGTGGCCTACTCGAAACAGGGGTCAGGCCGGATACAATAGATTGACATGACGCCATTACTGAGCATTTGCTTAAATATAACAGTAAATCACTGTTGCCGTACAAAATTCTGCTTAATAAATATTCTTTGGATACATGAATAAAATTACAAGATTCTGATTCATTAACAAATATGGAGTAAATAATCAGTTGACTTTACTACCGTGCGAGAAACCCTGTTCCTCAAGCCAGCCCTGTTACTGTTAACAGAGGTATTTCACGCACTCTACTGGACGGTATAGGGTGACTACGTGACCTTGCCGCTCCGTGGTGGCGGTGGCATGGCTAGAAGCACTCCTCCTAGTCCCAGGTAGATGGCGCGGATGCTCCCTGTTAACAGGGCTGGCTTAAGGAACAAGATTTTTTGCACGGCAATCAAGTAAATGAAATATTTACTGTAATTTTATTTATGTCTTCAAAGAATTTATCAAATGAATTTTGTACAGCAACAGTAAGACACTGTTATTTTGAATAAAATGCTCATTTAATTGCTTTCATGTCAACTAGATATTGTATCAGATGTGCCCATGCTTCGAGTATGGCGTAAATACTTCCTTTAATTTTATGACCATGGCCTCTAATTTAGTGCCTGGACTCAAATAGAAAAATAGGCTATTGTAGCTAAACCAAGTGATTTATCACGTATTGATTGATTTAATATGGGAATTAAACGTATAATTATTCTCTGAGAGACATTTTAGAAGAAATCTATATTATCGATTACTTCAAAGGCGTCTTCTTATTGGTTGTATTTGTGGTCCACGCGCTTTTTTACATTGAGTAATATCTCAAAATGGAAAAATAGTTTAAACATTGTAGATATTTTAGCACTAGTGTTCCAAAACATTTCACAATATTACGACACGATTTTATTTCCCACCTTAGGAGTGTCGATCTATATTTTATATTTCTGTTCTATGCAGGTAATTTTGGGCTTTATTGTTATGTTACCTGTAGCTGTAACATCGGTCTTTGCATTAATTCCACAGTAATTATTGTGTCCATAGCCTTATTAAAACATTTTGAGATCGCCGGCTGTCTTGAACTTAAATGCATTTTTAAGCTGAGATGCTAGTTATAATAAGTTAACAACTTTTTGGAGCACTTTTTGCCAAGTTAGAACCAACTATGCTTTTATGAGATGTTTGTTACAGAATAAGTGGTCCCTTTTCAGCAGCAATAGCGCACACGACAGAATTCCATTCAAAAAAGTACCGCAGCAAAGTGCAGTTCATTAGGGGCATGAGTATAAGTTTTAGCAATTTGTTATTGCCGCTTTTTGCCTGGGCGATATTGCCCTACCAGTGGGATTTTAGTATATTGGAATATAGTGAGTATGATAATAAGAATTCACTCTATATATATATGAGCAGTAGTCATTGCCAAAGCCAACAACCAGTTGGGCACAAAATACAATTAATTATTAATTTGCAGCCACAAGGTGTTTCAAAACGAACGTAGAGAAGATCGAACTTGTAATCAGTATAAAAACAAAAGGACGGGGACATTGGGCTTGTTGAAAAAACGACAGATACCTTCGTTACATGTTAAAAATATCAATCCACCCGAACAAATTAAAAAGTACCTATTAGACGTGAGAAGACATTTTGGTGAAACCATATATATATATATATATATATATATATAGCACATACGCATTTGGACACTGCTTAAGAACTGTTAAATAGTGATTTGAAATAATTATGAATTGGTTAAATGTCAATAAACTTAAACTAAACACTAATAAAACAAAATGAATGTCAATAGGGAAACAGTTAGGTGACAATACAATTAGGCTCATGATTAATGATGAACAAATTTAAGTATCTTGGTATATATGTGGATAGTAAGCTACTGTTTCACGAACATTATGAATACATTATTTCAAAAATATCGAAAAAGATAAATTACTTCTATAGTTTCCCATAATCTTAATATGTATTCAAAAAAATTGTGTATAACACTATAATTCTTCCCCATTTTTATTTTGTTCAACCATCTTGTTTACAGCAAATGAAAACATATTTTCAAAATTACAAATTCTACAAAATAAAGCTATGAGAATCATTTTAAATAAAAAAATATTCTAGGATTAAGTTTATGTTAGAAGAACTGCAGTGGTTGGATGTGAATAATTTCATATATTATTAAATTCTCGTTTTCATATTCAAATTAAAAAATCATTTATTACCACCACATTTAGAAAACTTCACAAAATTAAAGAGTCATTATCATAACTACGAAACTAGAGGCAGTATAGATTTTCATCTGCAAAATTGTAATAGTAGCATAACTAGTAAAACTATAGTTCTAAAGGGAGTATTTGAATTTAATAAATTGAATAATGATATTAAACAGAGTTCGAATTTAAAAATGTTTAAGCTGAAATTAAACAATCACTTTATGAATAATCAAAATACATAGTGACGTAATTTTAATAGACAAGAATGTAAAATTACAGAAAATGGATTGAAGAAAAATAGTAACCGAATCATTATACAAAATTGACATTGTAGCATTAATGCTAAATAAATCTTCAACAACAACAATCTTCAAGATCAAGTCAAAATTTCACACGTTCAAATATACAATTATTTTGCTCGTTGCAATTTTGGCATAAAAATCACGGTTGCCTTACAAATAACATTTAAGGTTCGGATAACCTAGACTTTGATGTCAAGGTCACATTCTGACGTAACGTTTCCTTATTATTATATATTCCAATTCCGGGATAAAAATGAGGGGTCCTTCGGAAATCTTGACTTGACCTTAAAGTCATATTCGAATGTAACATTTCTCCTCTTTTTAATTCCTGTGTAAAAAGGGGGTTCCATTTGAAAATAATTGCTTGAAATGACCTTGCAGATCGTGGTGAAGGTCATGATCAAAACTATTTCTATGATATAGTGAATATGAAGTTGAGAATAAAATGAGACACCCTGTATAGCCGGGCCATGGGCACTTGGTGCATGATGGCTATACCTTCTGTAGTTGTATTGTCCGGATAGAGGCTCCATTAGAATATTCCCTTTCAGATTTTCACTCCTGGAATGTATTTCTTATGGTATGTGCGACAGTACCGTTGCTTGGTGGCATATGCTATATGTTCTTGCCTGAGAGCCCTAAGTATCTAATGAGTCAAGGGAAAAATACGGAAGCTATGGAGGTTTTCCAGAAAGTTTATGCTGTCAATACGGGAAAAGGGAAGAGTACGTTCACTGTAAGTACTAGCACCGTCAGACAGGATGTTTATTAAGCAAAAGTGGCCGGTATAACACTCCTTAGTTTCTGGGTTTTTATAGGCTAATTAAGCATAGTTTCGTAATGTTTCAACGAAATCATTAACGCATTCAACAAGGGCCCTGTAACGCATATACAAGTTGTACAATTGTAAATACTCGCTCTGCACTTGTAATTATTTCGTATCACAACACCACTTGTAGCTACATGTGCGGGGCCAGTGATCAGAGGAGAAAAATTACAATTGTAGACGTATTCTCTAACTCTCTAACACATCGTCCACACTTGTAGGATTGAGTTACAGAATTTCCTACAATTGTGGTTAATGTTTTACTTATTTATATATCTGGGTGAGAGTTGGTAATGACATAATAGTAGTAACTTCGCTGTCGTAAAGATTAATATTTTGTTCTGCTTTTTTATTCATCAGAAAATTTGGCTTGTTTCCTTTAGTTTTGGTCAAAAGTCATCTTACGTTCTGCGGCGATATTTATTTTACACCTTATCGTCACGTTATATTTACCTATGATGTCATCAACATAATACGGTCCTAAATCACAAAATATATACAAAATATGCTGCGACAGGTTTTATCACAATTGTTTTATACGTAGCGTACACTTGTAGCTACAATTTTGTAGTAGGTCACTTATTCCTTTCGCTTGTAAATAAGTGTAGTTATTTGCGTTGTGTTACGGAATGAAGAGAGAGTTGTAGGTACAGCAAATTACTTGTAACTTGTAGACTTGTAATACTTGTGATGTTCGGGTTACAGGCCCCAGCTTGAATACGTTAATCAATGATAAAATTTATGAGCGCCAGCAGTGGGAGGCTGTGACCCGCCTTGGGAATTCGGTTGGACCTCAAAATTTGCATATTTAGCATGATGTTATGTAGAATTTTGAGGATTTTTAGGATTTGGTCCCCTGGTAAAATTTGCGACAGACCACTTTTCAAATAGTTTTGGGGCCAAAAGTTATCTTTTGCCAACTGTTGGACCTTCAGAGAAAAATTCATGCGGGCGACCATGATGAAGTCCACTGATTTGTTAATGAGACAATTCCTACAACACTAATATGGACTGTTATAATCCCAGAATCATCGAAAAAAAACAAGAAAGAAGAATATCGCACCTTCTTTCATTTTAACAATTCACTCAATCAGTTCAGTAAGCGCATTCACCTCTTTCCAAAAATGATGGCCACAAAAGACCAGACACAAAACATATTATGGAAAATGGGTCCCCATCGATTTGTCCATGGACCAAAGCAATCACATGATTAGTTTTTGAGAAACAGGCGGATAATGTTTGCTCGAAGAACCAGTATACTGAAAAAATATTTCGTTAAAACACCTGAAGTTTTCATTTTGATTGTGACCATGATTCTTACAAGTTCAGTTTCAAGGCAAGTTGATTTTCATCTTATGATGGCACTAGTTGCTCGAAAATTCGCAATACTGTACCACAGAAAATTCGTGGTTATCTTATTGTCTTCGATTATGACCTCTACAAAGTCAATAACGTCATGTTAATTTAGAATATGGAAGGAAAAAATGCACTAATGAGAACGTAGCCTCAGGGTATTAGATTTTATTCACTATTCATTTTTTGTATCATGGAGCGCATGTCAAACGACCACATATGCCTAGAGTTCGGACACCAGGTTCACAAATACAGTAATGCCTATTAATCACTGCAATATTAGGAGGTAAATCCTCGTACTTTCATAAACGTTTTGATAAGATATCCATATACAGATTATTGCGTTTTAAATACGTGAGTTTTGCGGATATCTTCTACTTCGTCTAACCGATGCTGACCGTTGATGCGGTTATCTACCTTCCATAATAATCGGAGGATGATACCTATCAAAAAGAGCATGCACTATCTTAAAAAGGTTGCTAGATTTTATACATGCAGTATTTGAATAACTCTTAAAACTACCCATCTTGTCTTTGTAACTAAATAATATCCATTGGCTAATTCCGTGGACAGCTGCCATTGTTTTCCATCCAGAGGTGGCATTTTCCAATTTATACCCCACTGATCTAACAATACATTGATATCAATCTATCCTTAGGCAGCAGCGGTGGCAGCAGTAGTAGACTCTTCGGTCTCCTGATCAGTCGCCGGGCGCTGTGCGGGTTGGAATCCCGTCCCAGGAGAAATTTTTCTCTTGGCTACGGATGTTGTGATTGTTCGTAGGTAATAGACGGTCTCTGACTGTCGAACGCGGAGGTACCACCCGGCGGATCTCGTAGGTGCTACCAGAATGTGTGCATGTTGCATGCACACGTGTTCCCTCACCAGAGTCCGTGTGGCGTTCCCCGTTTCCCCTGTACCCCCCTATAGCCCCACGGTACCCATGGGTGTTTAGGCCTTCGTGGTAGTTGGAGAATAAAAAAAAATCATATACTTAATACAAGTACGTCTTCCCCTTAAACAGTTTAGAATTCCTGATTTAAAAAGTCGTTTTCATCGGCGAGTCTAGACACTTTCTAGAAAGAAAAGTTTTGTAACACAGGACGAATGGCGTATGAACTATTGGTACACCGTATAAAAGGAATCATTTGTAATATGGACCTGATTTAACATTTAACCTTCTTACAAGGTGCTTTAACGAAATATTTTCTTGAGTATACTGATTCTCCGAGTTTTTTTAAGAAATAGAATCGGCACAGTCACCAGGATTGCATTGGTACCATGGTTACTTTTGTTCAGGAAGGCAAGAAATATATCATACTGAATTTTTAGACAAGTCGACTGGGGCCAATTTCCCAATGTTTTGCGCCTGGTCCTTTTGCGCTAACACGCTTCAGGTGGAAGCGACAGAAAGTCCGTCAAAAGATGATTTTTCAATATTTTCTTTCTAAATCATAGGGATAATCGAGAATCAAGGATACCGCGTCTTCTTTAGTTTTACCAGTTTGTCCGATCAGTTTAGTAAGCGCATTCACCACTTTTTACAAATATCGGTAAATTTGATATTAGTTTGCGAAATAATTGTAAAGTCTGGTTTTATTGGTGCATGTTGTTCAAGGGGGTATTCAAAACATGGACGCATAAAATGGGTACACCAATTTTTGTGGGAAAACTTTATGCGACAACAAAGAATGAGAAAACGTGTTTTTGGGATTCAATCGAAAGTATTGGCAGGAACGAAAAAAACTCTTCATATAAGATTTTAGATATTTATGAGGCCTACAAAATAAGACCACACGTAAGAAGATACGACTAATAGCAAACATATGATGGTCGAAAGACAAGGCAACATGCAGGTTTTGGCACTTGTTCGTCAAGCGACATTGGTTTCTCGCAGATATTTGAAATTATTCAAATTCGTAAGATTCGTATTTCTAAATATCCACAACAAAATTGAAGTAGATTGGTCAAGCAGTTTTTGAGAATTTCTAATTGTTTATCCCAAAACACCTGTCTTCCGACCATCACTACTACTTTATTGAGCAATATACAGGGTTAGTTCAAAGGGCATTTTATAGCAAAATACACTAGTTCACCTTGTCGATATAAATCACAAACCATTCCGGAAGATAAATGTTATTTTTATGCAAAAAAGGATGGCTTACGTTTTTTCTTCTAAGCAAATTCAAACATTCCGTATTTGTGAATAATTCGCAACAAAAGATAATATTCACATCCGCTTTGTTTTAAAATGTGTATAGTAATGTATGTTTTTCGAATATCGTAGCACTCACAAAAACAAAATATTTGAATTTATTTAGAAGAAAAAAACGTAATCTTTGCTTTCGCATAAAAACAACATTTATCTTTCGGAATGGTTTGTAATTCATATCGGCAAGGTAAACACGAGTATTTTGCTACTAAATGTTATTTGAACGAACCCTGTATATTGCTCAATAAACTAGTAGTGATGGTGAGAAAACAGGTGTTTTGGGACAAACAATTAGAGATTCTCAAAAAACTACTTGACCAGTATAATCCAATTTTGTTGTTGTTATTTAGAAGTATGAATCCTACGGATATAAAGAATTTCAAGTTGTTGCGTGAAATCATCGTCGCATTACTAACAGGTGCCTTGTTTTTCGGCCATAACGTTTTTAATATTAGTCGGATCTTTTTACGTGTGGTCTCATTTTGTAGGTCTCATAAATACCTAAAAATCTTATATGGAAAGTTTTTTAGTTCCTGTCAACACTTTCGATTGAATCCCAAAAAACACGCTTTCTTATTCTTTATTGTCAAATAAAAAGTTTTCCCACAAAAATTGGTGTACCCATTTTATGCGTCCGTATTTTGAATACCCCCTTGAACAATTTGCACCAAAACCAGACTTTACAAATATTTCGGGGGAAATTTGCTAATATGATTAGACTATACGATTAAGTGATGAGAACGTCCTTCAAAATGTAAATTTTCAATACTTTCCGCGGAATCAAGAAATATTAAATTAGAAAACAAGACACAACACATCGTGTGATTGATTCACTTATCCATCCCCATCTTGTCCTGGTCGCGGAATAAAACCACATATCTTGAAGAAAATTAGATCACTAACATTTAGGCTGCATCAGTAACCTTTTTCAAAGAGCAAAGATAAATCTTAGTTAAATTGACATGAACCCTTTTACCCGCAGTACAAGGAACTTATTAAAGAGACTAACGTAAGCCAGGATACCTCATTCGAGCAGCGAAGTCCATTGGAGACCATAAAAAATGGCATAGAACAACTGAAACTGATTTTACATAAACCGTATACTTCAAGGATGATACTAGCCTGTGCTGCGTCACTTCTAGTGACATCGAGGTCGGTATTGATAGTCTAGTGAAGCTTTGTAGTTTCTAATGATACGTCTATAAAGTCACTCAACTCAACATAACAAAACTCAACTTACGTGTGGTGGTGTGTCAAAAAAAAACGGTGAATGAATTTTTATGTGCGGAGGGAATGCATTTTTATGTGCGGAGGTAGACGATGAAATCTAACCGTCTCCATTCACCAATGTTTATTTATTCAAGGTGTTACTTAATGATAGGACGTAGATGTCATCACTGTCAGAAGGTACAGAAAATTGAACCCTGGAAGAAAGCAACTGAAAGTATTGTTTTAGTTTAAAAAAAATTGTTTTATTCAAGTAGTAGTAGGTACGTTAACGAACCGACTCCTGAAAGAATGAAAAGAAAATTTCGAAGTGTGTGTAACATAAGTTACAACGATTCACTTTTTTATTCTCGGCATATAAGAATAATACTTATTTGTCTACAAAATATACACTATACTAAAAAATACTACTTAAATATAAAGATACTGAGCTACTACAAAAATGTCGCGTCCACACACGAGGAAAGAGTACGCTGATTTTAGCCAATGTCGATATTCGTAAATTTTGCAACTGTATATGAAATTGCCACTGCTCCGAACAGCGTTACGTAGCATTTGATTTGAGATTTATCATTAATTATACGATCATTGCAGAAAAATATATTAGGATATATACAGGGTTATCCAAATTAAGTGTCCACCATTAGTAACTTTGTTATTAGTGAAAATACAAAGTTGTTTGAATTAGCAAACTAGTAGCATTTTTAACGCTGGTAAAAATGAGAAATAAAAAAAAAAACAATTGAGAGTCGTTATTTTGATTTTTTTCAGTAAAATAACATTTTTTTAAATGGAAACCCCTGTATATTATATTTTTTTCTGTTAAAGCATCAAATTTTAAACAAAAAAGTTCATAATGACTTTTCCGCTAAAGTCAAAAATAAAGTCAAAATAACGATAAATATTTTTAATTATTTGCAGTATTATAATATTAAGACGGCTATGAAAACAACATGGCGTTCGCGATTTGACAGCATTAAGATAAGCGACAAATTGTTAAACTGGACATACTCGCAACTAGAAGGCTTTGGAAAACAATGATAAAATCAAATAATGTCAAATATTAGTGTAAATACTTGTTTATAAGCTTTATTGTGTCATTAATTTAAAGAAAAATGTTCTCCCATGAAGAAAAGTGTGATATGTTAGAATGCTATTTAGTGTGCAGAAAATCCTCCTTGAGAGCAAGAGAATACTACAGTGAATTATATCCCGCTCGCATTCAACCGTATGAACGATATTTTCTGAGACTTTATCGAAAATTTAGGGGCAACGAAAATGTTTTTGCTAAAACAAGGGCAAAAAAAGAATTCATAATAAGCGAGGCCACGGAAATTGCAGTTATTGGATATTTTGAAGCTTATCGTGAGAATTCAATAGCAGATATTCTCAAGGACTCTAATTTCAGTTATGGTACTGTTCAAAGGATTTTAAAAAAATACAAATTTATTCCGTATAAGTACCGACCAGTTCAAACGCTTTTGGCAGGGGATCCAGAGAGAAGACTTGTTTTTTGCCATTGGTATCTTAGCTTCTGTCGCCAAAATGTAAATAACTTTCGTTACCTTTTATGGACAGATGAATCAAATTTTTCAAATTCTGGAATGTTTAATAGAAAAAACCACCATTATTGGGCAAGAGAAAATCTTTTGTTAGTACATCCAAGAGGCCCACAAGTCCGTTTCAGTTTCAACGTTTGGTGCGGTATAATTGGTTCAAAAATTGTTGGCCCGTTCTTTTATGAGGGAACCCTAACTGGTGAAAGATATGTGGAATTTATGTCAGAAATTCTGACTAATTTCTTAGACGAATTGGATCTTATAAGTAGACATCATCTGCATTTTCAGCAAGATGGCGCACCTGCCCACAACTCCAGAGGTACTTGTCATTTTCTAAGTACTACTTTTAATGATCAGTGGATAGGAACAAATAGCCCAATACAGTGGCCTCCCAGATCACCAGATCTAAACCCACTTGATTACTTCTTGTGGGGTTACTTAAAGAACCAAATTTACAAGCGAAGATAACCTTGACGCGTTAAAAACTGCAGTTAGGGAAAAGATAACCCAGATAGATGGTAGGACCATACTTAAGACAGTTCGAGCAGTTGAAAAACGTGCCCAAAAATGTATTGAAGAACAAGGTGGTGTTTTCGAGCATCTTCTTTAAAAAAAATTGATATTGTATTTTGTAAGATTATAAGTTGATGTTGAAAATAAAGTTTGTCGATACAATTTAATTGTTTCAGATTGGAGGCCATAACTTCAACAATTTGTAACCTAGGAGAAAAGTTATTGTATGCTTTTTTGTTTAAAATTTGATGCTTTAACAGAAAAAAATATAATATACAGGGGTTTCCATTTAAAAAAATGTTATTTTACTGAAAAAAATCAAAATAACGACTCTCAATTGTTTTTTTTTATTTCTCATTTTTACCAGCGTTAAAAATGCTACTAGTTTGCTAATTCAAACAACTTTGTATTTTCACTAATAACAAAGTTACTAATGGTGGACACTTAATTTGGATAACCCTGTATAATCCAATAACAAAAATAATAAAAAAAATAGAAAACTGAAAAGTGAAGCGGAACAATTAAATAGAAGTCGAACTTGATTCATGACACACAAACATCAAGTTCAGAGACATTGAACAAGAAATTCAAACACTAAAAATAGCGCGAATTACTAGAAGGCAAGCTACGAAAATATAACGTAACTGAATACGGCAGAAACCAGTACAGGAAGCTAGACATTTCGTATCTTACTTCGTTTGCGAGGAAAAAAATAAAAACAACTTCATTACATGTCGAAAAATTATTAAAATAAAATCAACTCAACTTTGATGCCAAGGAATGTTGTTCTAATATTACGAATATATTTTTGACTTTCCGTGACGGTTTACTATTATTTTTTCTCTGTCAAAAGCAAAGCTCACTCTTTAACGTCCTGCATCTTGTAAACCAGACTTTCCAGGGCCTATTTTTATATGGAGTTTTCTACCTGAATCTGGTTCAAGAAAACGCCCTTGTAATTAATAATAATAATAATAATAATATTTATTCACTCATTACAGACCATCATTAAGTAACACCTTCTATATTTTCGCTTTCCATTCATCTGTCTCCAGGATTACTAGACCGCACTGTTGAGTTGCTAAGGAGCACGAAACAGCTCTGTCTGAGGTTGGTCATGGTTATAGCAGACAAAAAGCAAACATGTTCATTTCAGTGAATTTTTATATCGATAACTGTTGTATCTACATCCAGTTAAAGTAATACGATTGATAGTATGTTTCATTGAGATAGCCACAAAACCTAACGAAAACGTGTAAGCTGAATAATTTCTTCGTAATAAAATTGTTCACCGTATTTTTTGATCACACCTCATAACCAAACGAAACCGAATCGAATGTCATATGAAACAAACTGACTTCCTTAGGTTAAGTTTGATTAAGTTAAGTCAAGTGACTTTGTGAACCCGACGTTAATTTTGATCAATTTCAGTAATAACACGTTTAAACTCTGGCTTCCACAAATATTTCAGTCGATAAACGATTATCAGTCGAATCACAATGGTACCAGTACGGACCTATGCACTATGTTGGAAGATTTACAAACACCTGAAGAAGTGGTTGAGGAGAAAATTATTTGTAGTGTGGTAAGTATAGATACCTACCTCGTACCTACTTGAAGCTGCTGCTTTTTTGAACATTCGTGTTTTTTCTGTTTTAGAATACGAACAATATGTCCGTTTACACCAACAGTATGATTGTAGCAACCACAAGAATGGTTTGCTGTTTAATTTGCACATATCTAATTGAATGGCTAGGATCTAAAAAACTCGCAAGTAAGTTGTACTGAACGAATCATGCAATAGTCAGCAATTTACTCCATAAAATAAAAAATAATGGGTCATATTTCACCTAGACAAATTGTGTTTCTGAAATAGATTGTTTTCACTTTTTTTTTTCAATGGTAATGCATCTTCGTTTTCCGTTCGTGTTTTGGAAAAAAACGTATTTGAAAGAGAATGCCTTCAAGTCCGCTGTATTCCCCGTCGAAGGAATGAGCCAATCGGATTTGATTTTTATTCCGAATCCTGATAGAACACGATCATTCGTTGTATGTAAGACCACGTAAAACTATCAGCGTCAGAAAGCAAATGTTATTTTTGACATGCATACAGGGAGAACCAAATTTGTCTGATGGCTTGAGTTAAATGTGTACGACAGAGAAGCGCGTGAACAGTGACGCAGAAGGTCGTGCAATCTGTCTTGTTGCCAATACGTTTCACCAGAAAATGTTAGCACAGGCTTCTACAATAGGTTAGATTACTGCCAAACTCAAGAAGGTCTGTTACAACATTTAACATGACCGCCCATACAGCAAAATCCAGGGGGGGGCATGTTCGGTCGTTTGGTTTAAAGGTCGTGCAGGATCAAAAATGCAACCCGTTGGTGGCAATTGAAGACTGGGGTGAAAAACATTTCAAAGCAGGACGACACTCCTCTACGAGCACCAGATGGGTACTGACCAAAATCGCTCAACTATGATCATGGAGGTGGAAACATTATCTTGGAATATACAAGATGTGATATTGTGAGTGGCACTAATGATTCAATGATGCAGAATTTGTGGCGATCCTGACCTTTCATTACGACCAAAAAAGGAGCGCCGGAGTCGATCCTAAACATATTCTACACAATTCACAAATCGAAATGCATACGCTCAAAATAAAACCATCATTTGGGCGTAAAGTATAAACTAACGCATCTCAATTCAGGGAACCGGCAACGCAGCAGATTGCCGCGTCAGCGTTGCTAGGCGACGCGGTGATGAGCTTCTCTATCCCTTCTATCTATTCTAGTATATGTGTCTATATACACTTCTCTCTCGTACACATTGAACTCAAGCCATCAGACAAATTTGGGTTTCAGTGTATACTCAATATTTTCCAAGGCACATGTGGGGTGTAGAGTGCAGTAAATTTAAATCTTCGCATTTTCTCCCATAGTGAAACACCTTAACTCAGTTACGATTAACCTTATTCAGTTCAATCTTCATTCCTAGGTACTGCAAGGCAGTTGCGGTCATTCCTCTGCTTACCCCAGCATTTCCGGTGATCTATATTACTTGCAATTAATAATAATAAAAATACAAAATATATTTTCCCCCAAGTCGAGAGATCACCATTATTGACCACGATGCAGTATTGAGAAGTAGAATTTCTATAAGTCAATAATGGAAACCAAAAGACACTTACATGTTAATTTCATTGTGTCAATTTCACAACTGAAATATATATTTCGAAATATTTTAGTACCATTGAGAAATAAGTAATTTTGAGTAAAGCTTCTCATGTTGCTATCCTTCTTAAATACCCCAATGATCGACGTAATATTTGGAAACAACTTATAATGTTAACATAAAAAAACATTTGTATCTTACCAGTCTAAAAAAAATCGGCGGTGAACCATAGAGCATACGCTCGATTAACAATTAAAAAACAAAGGGTGACAATAACAATACTCCCTGAAATGATTTGGAATTTTGTTAATAGATGTTTGAACAATATTTAGGAACATTGGCATCATCAAAATTTTCGTTTTTCATATTGTTTTTCACGATCGATGATGGCATATTTCAAACTTTTAAAAATGTTGTATCGCTTATAATATCGAAAACTATCAACTTTAGAGAAAAGTTCTAAAGTACCTTTTTTTATTCAGAATGTCTTAAAAAACCTAAGAAGATTTTGACCGGAGAAACATAAAAGTCATTTAAAAGAATTGAGCAAAGGTTGACGCAAATTTGGGCCTGGCTACATGCAGATTCGATTCGAATAAGATTATGCAAAAAATCCGAATCGGAATTTTCCCATTAGATGCAACTAAAATATTTTGGAAAATAACCAATTGCTTTCAACTAAATGTTTTTTTCCTATTTTAGTTACTCTGCCATTACTGACAGCAGTATTCTCGGCTGGTTTGTACTTTTCAAGAACACCAATCGAAGTGCTTGCTCTTTCTTCTCTAGGTTCCTCCATAGGCAGTGTGGCAGACTTGGTTATAATGAATATTACTGTTGAAATGTTTCCAACAACACTCAGGTATGTATGACTTCAGTTAAGATTTTTGTTCAGTATAACGTGTCATACTAAGACTCTGCCATGAACTATTGAATAACATATTCTACATGAACCTAATACTATATTCCCGCGTCCAAAAAAATATATGAGTTGAAGTTAGATACTGTAGCGTCATCTATGAGAATTTGTAACAACAAATCTACTTTAAAACTGTCAGTATCTCATATACGGTGAGGATCAAATTTTACTGACGTAAAATGTACGAGAGAGAAGCGTGCAATATGTATGTTAGAAAGAGTGCGCCGATGGCAACGCGGCAAGCTGCAGCCGCGTCTGTGGCCTCGTCACTCGGGTTGCTAGCCAACGAGGTGCTTCTATCTCTTTCTAACACACGTATTGCACGCTTCTCTCTGTAGTAATATAAACGGTGTTTTAACTAATTTACAGCAATAAACAATATAAAAAACAGCGTCAAGTAATTGCACTTTCCACGGGACGCTGCTTAACTATGAACATGTGTAACAAAATAATTAAACGGATCAAATCAGTCATATAAGCCCGTACAGTCAGTCTGTTTATTCAAGAAAGCCATTAAACCAAGACAATTAGTAGCGCGTGTTCAGTGCGTAATTACCGTGGTTGGCACCACATGAATATAGGGACGGCAAACATTCTGACGTACCCTCTACCACCTCCTGCAACCCTCAACTGGTCGCTATAAAAATGTTTCATCAATGAATATAACACTTCCTGGTCAATGGCGTGGGAAGTAAAAGGACTATGACATTTATTTGAATTGTTCAATGGTAATAATAATAGACCTTTATTGTACCTGGAAGTTTCAGCTATAAAGCCGCTCTGACCACCAACCAGGGAATGACATTAATCGGACTCGCAAATTATATAGTGATCTTCTCATGTAATGTACTGTTTTTTATTGAAGGACTGTAGCAATAGCCCTCCAATTGATGACAGGACGTTTAGGAACTTTAGCAGGAAATATCACGTTTCCATATCTGCTGAATACGGGATGTGCCCCACCATTTGCCTTTGTGACGATTTTACCTTTCTGTAAGTGTCATTTTTCACTGGTTTTTCTTTTAAGGATATTATGATATCGGTATCCAAGTTAATTAAAAAACGGATAAAATATCATTAGGAAAGATGATAAGTGTTTGGCAGATACCGCTTCCGAAATTAAAGGATACGGGTGTCTCAATATTCGTTGAACATAGAAGTACCACGTATTTTTAAACTCAAAATAAGTCGATGGGACATAATTTACTTCGATGCAAAAGCTCTTTGTTTGCCCGTTAGAGGGTCAAACTTCTCTTATCAAAACAAATTTTTTTAGATAATTTGGAACCGATAATTCGATTTGAATGAAATTTGGAACACGTCTTTTGTTAGACGTCCTAATATTTGACTTTTACAAAAAAAAACGAAAGGGTCCAACCCGCACCCCTAAGTAATTTTAGCAAATTTTTTTTCATCGACTTTTTTCTTCCTTTTATTTGCTTCATTTTTGTATCTTATAAAAACAGACTGACCCACAGAGTTTATGAGAAAAAAATATTTTTCGGAGCTGGTATCAAAATTTTTTTCTTATTACACCAAGTGTTAAAATCTAGTAGGCATCTAGCTGGCGGAAATAAGGGATGTTATGTCAGTGTCAGATTATTTTTATACAATAAGTAATTTATGAGTTTCTTTTTGATTGTTAATTTGTTTGTTCTCCATAAATTTTAAATTAATTAAATTTTGAGATTATTTTTGGTTAAGTTGCTGTTGAATATGGAATATTCTTTTGATGAACAGGATATGTAGTTAGTACTTATTTTCTGCGCAGGTAAATGCAGGAAAAGCGTTCGTTTGTATAAAGAGATATCCGATTTGACAAATTACAAATCTTCGTCCAACGAAAATGGTAGTCATATTGAACACCTTTTTTTAAAAAAATTCGCACTAGTACCTGTATTAAATAAAATTGTAATAAGAATTATTACGACGTTTGGGAACCTCTTGAACAAATCTTTTTTTAAACTATCCGAGACGGCCTGTTGTTAGGAGACAATAAATGAAGTAAATATAAAGATCTGCTAATTAAAAAAATTCAAGAGTCGTCGAAAAAGTTGCCAAAAAATATTTGCTATAATTTGTCGTAGTGGGGATAATTTTCACCCTTCTCGAACCGTTTAGTTTTTCGTAAAAGTCGAATAGTAGAACGTCTAGCAAAAACCATCTCAAATCGACTTATTTTGAGCCTAAAAATACGTGGTACTCATATGTCCATGGAATATTGGGACACCCTATATAAAATGCTGAAGATTGGGCTTCAGAGATAATAGAAATAAAAAATTAGTGACCAAGCAAGCCTGAATAAAATATTTTTTTCTATTTTAGGTTGTGCCATACTTTCATTTTTATTTCCAAATACTGAGAACAAACCACTTCTGTGAGAAAGAAAACTAATGAGTATTCACCCCAGTGATATATTATTATAGATATTTTGTACGGAATAAAAGTTTTATATAAATGAGTATATAATTTTCTGTAATCTAACCGTGATAAGATATCAAAGAGCCTTTCTCCGATCTGTAAGTAGTGAAATGAGGGATCCTTCAAGTTGAACATTAAGCAGGCCACATAACAAACAAGGCTGCTTTCTTCCTTAAGAAACATATTTGACAATCCTATGTCACTTGCATCTATCAAAACTGTCAAAGCAAACAAGTCGTCCTCGCATTAAGGAAGTGTAAAAATGGCGTTTAGGGTTTTGGGTTGGTACGAAAAATAATACGCATTTTGACGGAATCATATCCATTTTACTATCCATAACTTAATATATATATATATAAACTAGCGCATAAAATAGCAAATGTAAATCACATTCAAAATCTTAACTCGCATAACCTCTCATCACATTTTTACATACCTTAATCTAAAAAAATATACACAATTTGTCAAATTATTTATATATGTGATCTATATATACCGAGTTCAATTTGAACTCTCATCATGAGTAAAAAAAGTCACTTCTTTGGACTCGTACAGACTTGTAAATCAACAAAATCTACACAAAATCAGTGTTTATTCTAATCATATAAGTGATAAATTAGCTGAAATATCATAAATTGACAATTAACATATGTCTTAAGATGATATTCATAGCTTTCAGCGTCATATCAAACAATAACTAGAATTCCCAAACACTTGACTTTACAAAATTACATCATACATTATTGCTGCATTTTAGAAACTATATCAATCTACTTCAACCCCACATACATTTTTATAGAATAACTATCACTGGAGTTTCATCATATCAGCAATAATGTGGTTATACGATATGCGCCTAAAAATGCGAAACAATTGTCAAATTCTGATTCACAAGAATTTGATCGATGTCAAATATATACACTTGAACTATTTCAAAAACCAAAATATATAAATAAAAGATCGATCCAAAAAAGGTTGTCTCAAAAATACTAAGAATATGTGGTGTGATCTAGTACCATCAAGACAACATTTCAAGTATGCGAAACACAATATAGTCAAGTACGAGTAGTTCTCAGGTCCAAATCTGTATCAGACTTTTCTCAACAACATTCTTAACTGAAGCAGAGTTATATGAATGCGAATATAAATAACGAATACTGCTTCACACTGCACCATAAATGTACGTTTCCACTGCTAACAACACCTTACAGCACATATTGCAGTACATACACTTGGCTTATTTTTCTCTGATGTCAGAAAGTATTGTTTTTACTAGGCGTATCTATTTAGCATTTTGATGATAATATTGATATGGAAAGTATTATTTTTGTGCTAAATCTTGCTAAAAAATGCTAAATAGTAATGCAATTGCTTTCTTGAATTTATGGCGGAGTCGGAACCAGTAAACTGTGCGTATAGGCAAATACACCAAATTTGTGCTAGTTGTAGATTGTAAATCACGATTGTCAGATTCAGATTACAGCCTACCACAGATTTTTAGCTACACTACTTGGTACAGTATTTCAATCATATCAAATTTTTCATAATCATTTCATAACGAGTAACACCAAATCTAAAAAGAAAATTTAACGAAGCAAAGAAAATGCATCTGACCAAGATACTGGGCAAATTTAGATACCTGAGACAGAATTACAAAAACCTTTAAGGATTCACCCAAAAGAACAAGTGAACAACTGAAAAAAATGTGGGAGAACATCAAACAAAGATACGTACAATGATTTTGTGACAGCCAGAGAAATAACCATATTCTCCATTAATTGACTAAGCTGTCTATTTCTTATGAAAAGGGTTCATAGGATGGATTATTGATACCAAACTTTTCACAAAGCCTTAATTGTATGCTGTAAATAGCGCAGTCGTTCTACCTTATTTAGCTTTGTTTTTTTTTTTTAGTTGTTTGCTTGTATTAACATCGAACGTTTTTACACAAGTTTACATTATAACGATTTTTTTTACGTTTTATGGATTTTCTCACAATACCCCTGCCAGTGTCTAGAAAAAGAAGAGTTCGGTGTAATACTGGTTACCTATACGTACAGTTTATTAGTACCGATTTTCGAGAAAGCAAATATATTACCATTTTGCACTATTTAGTAATATTTAGCAAAAAAATAAATCAGATCGTCCCAATCGATGACGTGATGACATATATTACAGCCTACTGTGAAATGCAAATGTCAAATTCTCCCTTGTACATCCTTCAAGGAAGCGTTATTGCTGCACTGATTCCAAGGGTAGACCAGCCCTCAAACAGCACTCGGCCCTCAAGGGGCAATGTGACTCATAATCACCTGAACCAACCATATGCTGTATTATGGCGTCCAAAAAAGGATCTGAAAGATATCAGCGCCACTTATGAGCCTATAGAGTTTTTACTACAACAAAAATAACCAATTGTCAAGCTGTCCGTTACGTTATTGTTGACAGAAATAGCAAATAACGAAGGTCGGAAAAGGAAGTTTATTAGACCACTAAAGTGAACCGTGACAGTTTGACAACACTGACTATTGACAATCTTGACAGGTTACTAACTAAGCTAATACGAATTCGGATAACAGGACTGTATAAGGAAAACATAACCTTACGAATAAGCTTTTTCCTATTCTCCGTAACTAATGGAGCTGCTTATTTAGATCACCGTGGATATAGGTTTTTCACTATTAGTAGAGCACAAAAATGAATTTAGACATTCACTTTGAAAATAGGTAAGGTGTTTTATCCTGTTACTATCTCATAGATGGCGCTAGGAGCTTTAATCCCTTTTTGGCCTGGCTAATACATATTTTAATCAGGTATCTTCAGACAATGATTAACTTATTCCACTCGATTAAAATAGACATCAGAGAGAAGGCAAAAATGAATCGAAGATCCCAGCGCCAACTATCTGACAGTTACAAAACCAAACATTTTAAATATTTTCAAAGTCGATTTTTGAATATTTTTTTTTCTGTTACTGTCTCATAGATGGCGCTACCATATTTCAGATCAATTTTTGGGCTCATTCTTTTCTATCTTCGGGTCAATGGTAAATACATTAACTTTCAGAACATTAAAAAAAAAAGGAATAAACTTAATTTTTCATCGAACTTTTCGGTACAATATCTCGACATTCTTGCATATGTTTAAAAAACGCCAAAATTACCCACTGACCTTTCTGGTATGCGCGCAACATGTTGCACAGTGGAGAAGTACCTTTAACACTGCTTTGGTTGTTGTCGATCTCAGTTCTACTGTTGCTGTTGGGTTTTCTTAGCTGTGGTGTCTGTGATATGGTCAGGTTTCAAACCGGCTGCGAATCGATCCCACATCTTGAAGTAGAGCAACTCAAGACCTTGAGCGTACTGTTTGCAGTCGAAGAGTGGAGATGTGGTGCGGGCCATCCACACTTTGTGCCTCATTGCTTTCAGGCTGGAAAAAAGAAAAACTGTTATAAAATCGACCACCTGAAACGAAAACTCGAGAGCAAAGATGGATATGTCAAGGAAACAGCAGGACTCCTCTCTCAATCCGAATACCATCTGGGCAAAAAAGACAAAATCTCAGAAGGATCACAGAAAACGATTTTAATCACTAAATAAGGGTTACTAAAGTGGCATTAAGCTCAACCTCAACGTATCTAACGACCGAATAAAAAGTATTTTTTATTGGATAAGATAATACATAAAAAGTTTCTGTAATGGGTTGTTTGAAAAACTCATGAACAGACTATTACCAATTAAAACAGGTACCTGAACAATATCATATCGATACGTCCTTTTTTGCAGCATACATTTTTTTCACACGGAGCCACAGTAAAATGTAAAATACGTCCCGAACATGAGGTATACTCCAAGCAATACATTATGCATATATTCGGTTTCTCTGGGCACTGTAAACCACAGCTTTCCTGGGATCTTTATCGATATGTTTTTACATTCTCGGATGATACAATAACGATAATTACTATATTTTTTATGTATACTAGTAGAAGTTATATTTAAAATTTTGTGAGGTTATGCTGCTGTGAGCTGCTGTTTATAAATGGTATCAAGTCAGAACACATTAATATTGGCCAAACATGGCGGACAGCGTTTTCGCCTGTCTAAGAAAAATATATTTTCAGATTAACGTTTTACGGTCTTTCAGGTCTGAAAAAATATAGTATTAATTTTTTTGGCGTAATAGAACAAATATTAACTATTTAAGACCTAGTTGAAAAAGCGTCAACAAATACTCATATTAGAATAACTAGATTAAACTCCGTTCAGCTCGCGTGGAACTAGTGTAAATGGTCATTCTATTCACCAATGTGAAGGAGATTGCAGACTCATATAGCAAATGTCACTCAATGCAGAAAGGTGTACAATAGTTCATACTTGGAAGACAAATCCTCATATAAACTATAGTATAAGGTAGGTATAAAATGAAAATATGTAGTACCAGAAAGTTATAGTAGCACATAATTTAAAATGGGAAACTCACATTACCAACAAAATTAAAGAAGTCAACTCACTGATATATTTGATTGAAAAAGTTGTTAAAAACCACTACTATGATAGAAAAGCTATACAAGATGTACATTGGCCAGCATACGTACATCGAACTACTGAAAAGATCGCAATGTAAAATAGCGCGAATTCCACCAAGACATTCGACATTTGCCATATGAACAACGTGTAAAGGCTATGAATTTGACAACATTCGCTGAGCGAAGATCATGAGGAGAGCTAATTGAGACATTCAAGATCATAAGTGGCTGCTACTCATGTACCCTTCAAATATACAATATGAGAATCTTCATCTCCGAAGGAATATCAGAAAATTAGAACAAGAGAGGACATCCAAGTTGATAGTAAATTTGATTTCAAATCGTTTTGTATACTCGTGGAACTATCTCAGCGAAGAAACAGTGGGTGCAACAACTGTCAAGTTATTCAAGAATAAGCTGGATAAGGAACCAGAAGAGAGATTAGCAAATTTCGTGCATTATCCAGCATAAAAAAATACTTAACACATCAGTGTTATCGACTTTTCCGCCTACTGTTGTCGTGCTTATAATAATATAATCACAAATTTCAAACAATAATGTTGTGGCCAACAGAAAGATGCGCCATTTGAGTGCAGGATCATTCATCTGAAAAATTACATCAAAATTAAGACATAACAAAATACTCACTATTCCCTATCCGTCCCCAAGCGTATAGCAATATCCTGGTACTCCTGCCTGCTATTCGCCACCAAGTCCGGACACCCTAGCGCATGCAACTGGCTGGCGGCCACTCTGGAGGCCAACGTCTCTCCAGGCAACGTGACCACAGGCGTTCCGGTCCACAGCACGTCCATGCTGGTTGTATGACCGTTGCAAAGCGGAGTGTCCAGGCACACGTCGGCTAATTGGCCTCTTCGGACATGCTCCTCCTTGGCCGCGACGTTGCTGAAGACTATACGGCCTGGCGGTAGGCCAAGTTGCTGGGCTGTGGCCAAGAGGTTAGGCTCGCCGACCGCGGGGAAGCGGAGGAGCCATAGGACGGCGTTTGGAACGGCCTGCAAGGGAAAACAATTTTGCTAATATGTTCTAAATTTACTGCTAACCAAAAGGCGTTTTTCAAAGACTGGTTTCTGGTGAAACGGTAGTCAACTTCAAGATCAGCTACGGCTTAACTATAAAGTTGTAATTAAACCGCGATATGATGAGTCTCATAACAGCACAGAACAGGATAGTTTATTTCATACGTAGCAACAGCGTGTTCTCAACTCTCGTATGCGACATATTTTCACATGCGACACTGTAATAATTCTTGTCATCGTTTGTCACTGTGCTGTCACATTTGTTAAGTTATTTGATTTTAAGACGGGTGTTGGTCAGTAACAAAGATAAAAGTAAGTATTTTCGAGTGAACTGCTACTTTGTCATCCGCCGTTTTCTCGAATGGTGAAAGCATTTAGAAAGCGTTATTCATTGTCGTATGAAAAATGTCGATTACGAGATTCAAGAAGGCAGTTTATGAGTTTCGTGTGACATTTCGCATTCGACATTGTCCTAGGCTTGAAAAAGGAATCTACCAAACCTAAAAGTTAACCATCCATTGAAAACCCCTGAATCTCAAGATTACTCCAGGTATGTCAAATTCGACTGTCACCAGTGGTATCTCGGAAATTAAAGATACGCAGTCGGTTAAAAGCGGGCAAAGTTAAGTATTTGAGTAACTAAGAAAATGGCACTACAAAAAAGTGTTGGCAATAGCACAGAATACGATAGTTTATTTCATACGTAGCAACAGCGTGTTCTCAACTCTCGTATGCGACATATTTTCACATGCGACACTGTAATAATTCTTGTCATCGTTTGTCACTGTGCTGTCACATTTGTTAAGTTATTTGATTTTAAGACGGGTGTTGGTCAGTAACAAAGATAAAAGTAAGTATTTTCGAGTGAACTGCTACTTTGTCATCCGCCGTTTTCTCGAATGGTGAAAGCATTTAGAAAGCGTTATTCATTGTCGTATGAAAAATGTCGATTACGAGATTCAAGAAGGCAGTTTATGAGTTTCGTGTGACATTTCGCATTCGACATTGTCCTAGGCTTGAAAAAGGAATCTACCAAACCTAAAAGTTAACCATCCATTGAAAACCCCTGAATCTCAAGATTACTCCAGGTATGTCAAATTCGACTGTCACCAGTGGTATCTCGGAAATTAAAGATACGCAGTCGGTTAAAAGCGGGCAAAGTTAAGTATTTGAGTAACTAAGAAAATGGCACTACAAAAAAGTGTTGGCAATAGGATGTTCTTTATTCGATGAGCATTTGGTTTTATATATCGAGCCTTGTCATGATAGGCACAATATTAGCGAGTGTTCACCTATACCTAGTTCAAAAAAACCGACGGAATGCTTGATTAGTGATATTTTGAGACAACTGACTATTTGAAAATTTCAAGACATACTTAAAAAATTATCTTTTTTTCTTTTTAGAAATTCTAATTCCTGTCATCTTGTAGAGAAAAAAAAGTCGCAATGCTAATGTACTTTTCATTTTCAAGTCGCATTTTAAATAGAGTCGGGAGAAAATAAAAACCATTCTAGGGCAATTGATTTTTTTTCCATCTAGCTCCGGTGCTACCTGACTCATAGTAAAGATGATAAGATGCTATATATATATATATATATATATATATATATATATGAGCTATATATTTTGAAGTAAATTGACAATAACTGATTAATAGGAATCGTTATCAGTAGATCAGTCCATGCTGCTCTAAAAATGCCAATAAAATTTTAAATAAACATTAACTTCATGAATCTAAGGCATCATCAGTAAAAGTATTATTATCATGGAAGCAAATTGTCAAATAATCTCTGATAACCATCATTTAGACTTACCTTGAGAATGTTCACCCACATATGCAGCGTCATAGGATCGATCTTATATAACTGGTTAAAGTTGCAGTACACCACGGCATCGTCGGGTAGGTTGTACTGTTGCCTAGTGGTGATGACAATGTTCTGAGGCACTTCTTCCCCTGTAGCAGCTTTGTTGTTGGTTTGTGTTGTGGCAAGTCCGTTTTGGACCAGCACGCCGTTCAAGGAAGTTTGGACTTGGCCGGAAGCTATCATGTTCTCTGTAAATAAGAATATATTTAGTTGACTAGAATCCAGATAACCATAGCTAACTAAAACTTGTAATCTTTGATAAAAATTTTATTGTGTTGAACAATGAGTATCACAGTTATTCTACTAGAGGGAATAGAGACTTTCATTTACAAAACTGCAGTAGCAATATAACGAGCAAGTCAGTATTTCAATAGGGATTGCACGAATTTAATAAATTAAGTAATGATATCAAGATGTGTGTCAGTTTGAAAATGTTCAAGGGGAAATTGAAAAAATATCTCATGGAAAACCAGAATTCATAGTAGTGAAAGTTTTCATAAAAATATGTAGTCTTGAAGAATTAATATTCAGGGTGTTTCAGAACTATGGGATCAAACTTGTAGAGGTTATTCAGTGTAACAGTAGAAAACATTGGAGTATAAGGACCCATATCCGGAAAAGTGTCACTACGGCACTACGGCCCTAAGACGCGTTAACATTTAGAAAGACGATGAATTGCCTAAATAGGATTTAATGCATTTAGTTTTTACACATGATAACATCACAACAACTGTTCAAAATGTCTTACTCCAACCTGAATACACCGTTCCTGTGGGGACATGTAAAGTAGAAACAGAGCAAGACTTAATTGGACGAATAGTCAAGTCCGCCGAAATCATGTGCGACGTTCAAATCGGTGTATTCAGGCTGGAGGAAGACATTTTGAACAATTGTTGTGCTGATATCATTTAAAAAAGGCAAAAATTATATGTATTAAATCCTATTTAGGCAATTCATCGTCTTTCTAAATTTTAACGCGTCTTAGGGCTGTAGTGCCGTAGTGACACTTTTCCGGATATGGGTCCCTATACTCAAATGTTTTCTACTGTTACACTGAATAACCCCTACAAGTTTGATCCCAGAGGTCTGAAAAACCCTGTATTATGTGATATACTGTGTAACATGGATATTATGGATCTTGTAGCATTAATGCTAAATAAATCTAGAACAAAGAACAAAAATAAATGGCAGCACTAGTCCCGATCTTTGGATGAATTTACCATGTACTGGACTATACTGTATTGAAGATACAACTATGCTTGAAATGAAGCTAATATGCGATGAAAAGCAGCGAACATTGAAAAACGATGAAAAGCACTCACTGTATTTAATAACAAGTGTCATTTCAATGTTGCTTATGATACGATTGTAACCCCCTCGCAACTAACACTTTGAATAACAATGAGACACCCTCGTAACATCGACACTTAGACAACCATAATTACGCACACCGCCACGCATCGACAAATATCGACCGACATCTACCAGCTTCCATGAGAAGACTTGAGTTCTGTCTAGAAAACGCGGGACCGTTTCTGTATTCTTCGACTCAAAAATAAATACACGCAAAGAGGGCATAAATGGGCAGAGTCGACCGAGAGTGGATGATGAATCAGCCGCGCGGAGCACCATAGTCCAATCGACATAGTCATACATTTGTAATAAATTAGTTGCAAGTTAATCTTCAATTGGTAAAAATGATGTTATCATTACAATATTGTTAGAAGTTGTCATCGTTCGATTAAAAACAATTTTGCTAACTTGTTCCTGAATTTGGAGTATTTGGGTCTGCCTAGTTTTCTACTGTGCCCACTACCACGTTCTTACGAACGGCTTTTCTTCAAAATAAACAAAGAAACATTAGCAGCATCTTAAGACATTCACCATGAACTAACATCATATCATCAAGTTGCTATAGAATTGTGCCATTTTAGTTTTTTTTCAAATCCGATTTATAAACAAACAGTTCGGTACACCTATACGGCGCGCGACGCCTGGATACTGACACGCGTCGTATCTTTTCACCCTATCCTTTTTTCATAACCTAATCTCTGTTATCTCAAGACTTTGGTATATATGTTTCCAGGACAATTTATTTTTACAAAAACCACACGCCGCCGCCGTGTAAAATAAAGCTCCAACTTTAAGAATACCATGTGTATGTACAATAGGTTTGACTTCTACTACGTATATTGCCCAGGTGTGCTGATTAAAACTTAAGGGAGGACATAGATGGTCTTATCTGACTAGTTAAGATGCAAAACGGAAAACTCTAATGGTTGCAGCCGTGACGCAATCGAATATCACATGCCAAAAAGCCTCATGTCAAGCTTTCGAAAATGTTCATTTTCATCTACTTTTTTCATATATTTAACAAAACTTACCGATTGGCGTGGTGGTAGGCAACTCGGCAACTTTAAGGCTCACTTCCACAGGCTTTGCGGCCGCCTTTATCACTTCTTTAATCTCCTTCACATCTGTATTCTCCACCAGAGGCGATAAGTCAGTCGCGTTGATAATGGCAACGTTGTCTGCTACGTTCAGCCCGTTCTTATCACTGACGATCAGGCGTTCTTTCAGATGAGGGAACATCTGACGATGGTCCCCGCAGAAGTACGTATATGGCATGTACGCCAGTTTCTCGCTGTAAATTATGTTCAAGAATACAATGAAGCTGTCAAATGCAGGGTATGCGGTCTTAATTGGATTTAAGCTCGCTACCAAATAAATAAAAGTTTGTCTCGACCAGACGTTTCAATGCCACTGGACAATGAAGTTGGACGTTATATGACACGTACATATACGAAAAACGATGTCACCCATTTCCGACGGTCTGCCTGTCCACTAATCCTTTGACCGTGTATAACTTGAGAAGCACCGCTCGGATTTTAATGAGATTTTCACACACGGTTGCTGCTTTGCTAAGTACGAACAAGCTTTGTAGTTTTTAAATTTTTTTACGCTCCCAACCCCGGTAATCTATTCATCTCGATTAGCCATATTACATATATGTTTCCCTGGCGCGTACTCCTGCTAGTCAAGCTCACCGCCCGGCGAACCGGTCCGGCTGACTTGACTATTCGTACTGCTGCGCAAAAAACATATACACGGAATAACGTAACATCTGAAACTTATCCTGTGGTTCTCAGGTTAATAATCACTCATATTTCTGTGGCAAATCGAAACCACATGTGTTGAAACATTTTATTTATGGTAAAAGTTCAGGCTACAACGGTGACCTTCTTCAGTACAATGACTTTGACAATATATTTTTATCATCTGTCTTTCAGGTGACCCTCCGTTTGTTTTTCGTTTTCATTTTCATCTTTCTATACAGTGTGTTACTAAAATGGTGAGAAAGGTCCCATAAGTACGCGAAGCCATCATTTCAAATTTTAAGATGGCACCGCGCATAACCAGCATAGCCTACTACCGCCTGGGGTAAGCATTTCTGTTCCCAAAAGGACATCCAGCCATCCAAAACGACAAGCAAGCATGAGGTCATCTGCGTTCTCGTCCATCATACCGAAGATGCCAAAAACCCTCAAAAAACAGATAAATAAAAAAAACTGTCAAAGTCATTGTACTGCAGAAGCTCACTGTTGTGACCGAAACGTTTACAGTAAATAAGATTTTTTTCAACACATATGGCTTCGATTTGCCAGAGAAATATGACTGATTATCAATATACACCGACCATGAAATGAACGGTAACTCGCTGCTGCGTTGCCGCGCAAATATGCAAAGGAACAAAGATTCCAAATGGACGGTAACCACCGGTAGGGCAGGGAAAGAATATCTATGCACTAATAGTACGGGCCTATTTGAATATACTAATCTGTTTGATTTCTCTGTTGAATATGTTCGTAACGGAATTTTTTCTCAAAGGATTTAAATTGCGCTGAACTTCTTTTGTGAGCTAATGGCGTTGCGTAGAACGTGCAGAGTCAACCTACTTGATGCAATGTTTTGCTATGATAGATGCTATACCAAGTCATTATATCAAATCCACTGTTCTGTCAATAACATAAATTTTAATCGAGTCCGTCATCATTATAATAATAAAAATAAAGAAATCAGTTACATAATAGAAGAACTACAGTGGTTGAATGTGAAAATTTTCATATGTTATCAAGTTCTCGTTTCCATATTCAAATTAAAAAATCACTTATTACCACCACATTTATAAAACTTCACAAAATTAAATAGTCATTATCATAACTAGTTATTACATCTGCAAAATTGTTATAGTACGATAACTAGTAAATATATATTTCAAAAGGGAGTATTTGAAATCAATAAATTGAATACTGATATTAAACAGTTTTCGAATTTAAAAATGTTTAAGGTAAAATTAAAAAATTACTTTATGAATACTCAAAATGCATAGGGATGTAATTTGAATAGACAAGAATGTAAAATTATAGAAAATCGATTGGAGAAAAATATGTAAGCGAATAATTATACAATGACATTGTAGCATTATTGCTAAATAAATCTTCAACAAACAAACAAAAACGATTTCCGTGCTCAACTCCCACAAGGGGAAAAAGTAAGTAAGTTTTTACCTGTATTGGCTGGCAACCTCGATTGGCGATGTAACCGCATCTGTAATCAAGTATTCCATGAAGCTTGCGCCGCTCGTGCCTGGATAACCCAACCACATCACCTGGAAAGAATCCACAGCTATACTATATACTTTCATTTGCACTACACAACAAACTACAACTGATGACATATTTCAAAAAATTAGGTTAGAAAATATGAGAGTTTGCTCCAACACCAACCTGTACAGGCGCTGGCCTAAGCGCAAATATCTCATTCCTAGCTCCCTTGGTATACCCATTCATGTTAACCAAGATGTGTATTCCATCCGCATAAATCCTATCAGCAGCTTTGCCGTTGCACGCTACCGTTGACAGATCGACGAAATGCTCTGCTTCCTTAGAGATCTTTGCTCGGAAAGTAGTACCGTCATCTTGACTCAAAGCGTAGCAGAAGACCTCAACTTTGCTGCGATCGTGCAGACCGGGTACTGATTGCATTAGATGAGACGTGGGATGATTACCTGGAAATAATTTATATGGCTTAAACCTTAGACCAAGTTATTCATGAATCGGTAATCTACTATGATACATAAAGCAAAGAATAGCTTTCGACTGCTGACATGCCAAGACTGGCATGGGCGCCTGCAGAATTTTTTCTCAGAGAGGGCGATCATCGGCAAGAGAACAACTTTTTGTGAAAGTGTACTGCCACCAAAACTGTAAAGAGTGGCGGTAGCAAACGTTCCCAGGTGAGTGGAAAGCAAATCCAGAAAAGTATGCGAAATATACAAAATTTAAGGTTCAACCGGAGTCCCAGAAGGACCACACCACACCCCCCTTGCGGGCGTCCGTGAAGTCGGGGCCGATTACATCCACCTTCAAGGCTAAGACCACATTACTCGGCGGGCAACTTCATGATTAGTTCCTCCCAACACCCGAGTATCGTGAAGAGTTTCACACACTTTCCGTTTTGGTCGTAACTTATGGTTTATTATACCGTCGTTTTATTGCTGACGTCTACAGATACAATTTTATAGGCGAGATTTTTGGTTTTACAAGATTAAAAAGGATAATAATTCGATGAAACAGATTTCAAAAACTCCAAAAATGGTATTTCTTTCTCCAAACGTTTGACGATTCTACTTAGATTCCTTGTTTTTTGGGAAAGTCGTTGAGATGGAATACTTTACTGTTTCAAAAGTATCCGAAGTTAAAATTTTGGAGGACAGAACTAGTCTATGTCCTATTTCCGGCATGATAGAATTATTCTATTCAACAAAGAACAACCTCGAACGAGCGCAAGTCGCTATACCTCGTCAGTTCTACTTAAGATCATTCGGATTCATAGAATATTTCTGCATGAAAATAAATGATTTGCTTGAAGTTAAGCTTGTTCGTTTCTTATACAAATATGCTCAGTGACATTAGAGGTATTAAGCCCAGAAAAAATAATTTCTTGAACTCGTTTTTGTTGAAATGAGGTAGTCTTACATCAATAATGAGACGATAACATTCTCACGAAATTTCATTGACAAGTAATAAGAAAAAAAAATAATAATGGGTTGGACAACCCCGCAGCTGATACACGCCTGTATACGTCAAGGCATCGACAAAATTAGATGATCGATGACTGCTTGTGGCACCTCATTAAAAGCAACCCGAACTTCGTGGATCAGCTGTGTCAGAGTCTGTGGCAGGACATTCATGCCTGCTTCTTGAAGAAAGTCCGTAGTTCGACGAGCAATAAAGGGACATGGATTGTCTTGCTGAAAAAGGACGCGTGGACGGCCCTCTAATTACGGCAGTGAAGTGGTTTGTAGGATATCATCAACACAACGCGCAGTAGTTATATTGCCTTGAACAAAGAAAAAGGATGATCGGCTACCATAGGCAATAGCCTCCCAAACCATTACCCCAACAGTCCTGTGTACATGCCTCTCAAAAGCAAATCCAATATCACGCCGTTCTCCACGGCTGCGTCTTACCCTTCTACGACCATCGTGCGTACCCAGACAGAATCGCGATTCGTCGCTGAAGATGACATTACGCCTCCCAATGTTGCCGTTCTCTGCTCCAGTTCAGAGGACAGTGGTCCGCGGTCGGAGGAAGCACTAACCCTGGACGGTATGAAAAAAGTCCAAAAGCTCGAACGCGACCATAGTGTACGCATAGTAATAGGTCTACCTACTTCTCCAAACCATTGGTCAGCGAAATGGTCTTGTAGGGCTGTTATCTGAAGCGCCTATTTTGACGCTATGTGGTACGCCGCGGTGGACCGGTTGGCCTTCTTTGTGTTCCTCTACCTTATTCTATCCGCACATGACACACACGCATTACCGTCATTGCATTACAGTTAACACGGCGGCTAATTTGTCGATAGGACAAACCAACATCTCAACAGGCAATAATTGTACCCCTGTCAAAGTCGCTAACATAATTTAGACATCTTCGAACTCGAGGTATTAGGTTATGCTTAACACTAGTAAATGAAAGGGCAATAACTAAAAATATGTGTACTACTCAGATCTCAGAAACTGCTTCCTTCACAAAAACGAGATAACATTTCAACAAAGGTAAACAAAAACAAAGATAAAACGTTGACATTGTCGCCACAGCATGCTTTAAATATAGTCATTAGGTTGCCAAAAAAAACAAGTTGAAGAAGTTATTTTTTGTGAGTCACACTAATGTCACTGAGTATATATTACAACAATATCTCTCTCGACTTCACCACTAAGTGAGCGATGCCTCAAGTCATGTTCGTACAGCAGTCGCCAGCCAGTTAGTGACCGTGTCCAAGATCCCGCCGCAGAAATTCGGTTCACTCTGCTACGCTATATAGACAGAATTTACACGTCCGGATCCCAGACACAGTCACCGACCATTGTACGACCAAACCTTTAATCTATAGTTTGTTGTAAAAAAGCGAAATCAATAAAAATCGCGACGTTACTAGCCTTATTCGGATCCTAAAAAGAACTATCCCCGAACTGTACTGATCTTGCGCTATAGGTATTCGTAATTTCAAAGTCACGTGCGATTGACTACTGGCATTGTTTGTCTGAACATATGTAGTGTATATCCTCGACCAAAAAATTATCCGACATGAAATGAGATACCAAGGCGTCGTCTATGAGAATTGGTGACATCTATACTTCTCCTCTCCGCAATTAGGAATCTATTTACTAACCTTTTCCAAGAAGATTTCTGATTAACACGGAGAGGTGAAACATAGCTGTGACAGATACTCATAGATGACACCAAGGTGCCTAAAATCATCTATGATCATTTTTTGTATGTCAGGATACAGTATATGGTTAGCTACCTTCAGGTAGAATACGTAAATCAAATCAATAAAAAAAAAAAACAACAAAATGTCAACTTGACTAGCTGCTAGCTCAACAACATGCTCAACGACCATGCTGCAAGTCAGTTGGCCAGCAGCTTTATTGGTTGCAGAATGCCGAGATTGTAGAGTATATCTCTGAGAAAAAAATTGGTTGAGTAGCAAAGCAGCAAGATCTTACTTGGATGATTGTGTGGTGATTGAGTGTATTGGTTTTCATTCGTATAAAATCGGTAATATTTGCTAAGTGAAAAAAATATTACTGAATTTGCTGCCCATGAAGTATATTTATTAGATGTACCTGACGGGTTTTGATGTCCTTCCTGCAGAGAGGTTATGTTCAAAGTTATAAATTATGATTTTCTCCGTTTTCAAAGACTTTGAGAAGCATTACGGCAAATCACTGCCGCGCCCGCGTTGTGTGTAATTAAACCATATCACAGAAAAATTAGAAATGATGCATCACAAACAAAACATTTTCCAACTGCCTCACAGCCAGGATTTGTATTTTCCACTTGACATCGAAAATAAATTTCAATAAAATTTCAATGACTGCAAATGAAAAATAATGTAAAATGAAATAACCCTTTCACATTTAATAAATATTCCTTTCTGTAGCCTATTTTTTCACCGATTAGTTGTAATATACTTTATCAACCAGGGTTTTTCTTTTTTCTCTCCTTTTTGAAATTCAGCAAATTTGTATATGAAATTTCCAGGATGAAGCATACATCTCAAGTAAGTGTATTTGAGACAAGAGACCAAGGGAATTATCAACAGAGACTATTAGCACACAAATCCTCACTAAGCACTTATGAACTGCCGTTTCCTCATAGGTATACAACTTACATCTTATACCCCCAAAAATGCCATCTCTGAAGCACTTTTCAAGATACGTAATACCCCTATCGGACGGTTCTGAGACAGATCCTTGTAGAACCCAAATAAAGCTATTATTTCTTCACCATCCATCAGAATGAATGCCTGTGACTTATATATGACTACTAAAAAGTTTTACATCTAGCCTAACCAAGCCTTAGGAAGCAGCTTCAATGTAAGGTTAAAACGTAAAGTAGTCAAATATTGTTACAAACCTACTTAAAGGACGGGTAAAAACGTAGTTCTCCGAAAGCCATTAAAAACAATACCTACCTCATTTTTTTGTTATTTTACTAATTTCAAAAACAACTGAACTTCTAAATACACTCACCAAAATCGCTGCTGACATATCCAATCCTCAGCCGTCCCTTCAACTCGACGCTAAACTTGTACGGAAACTTATGCAACACGTTGATCTTCTCAAGACACAGGTTGGCATGCCTCGCTGCAATCGCCTTCCTGAACTCGTGGGAGAGGGGATAGAGCATCGAGTGGTGGGGATGAACTGAAGGCAATCTGTTCTTCTCCAACTGGTCAGCTACGATGCTGACCAGTTTCTTCATGCGCGCATCGTAGTCTGTCCAATCGCAGACGATTTGAAGGCAGTGGGCTAGGTTACAGTAGGCGTCGGGAAAATCAGGCTTCAGTTTCAGGGCGGTCCTGGGGATAAAGGAAAATGGAGATTCCAGGCATAAGATGGATTCTAAACAAGTATTGTTCCAGTTTATCTTATGCCCTGGAATGTTCACTGAATGCTGATTGCTACATTTTCATAGTACAAGGAATCATGAAATTTTGAGGATAGATTTCCTGAAAAAATCCACATCCACCCATGCCTATTGATTTTTTGCATAGGATCATTGAATTGAGAAACACAGTCTGTAGTCAGGATGATAGTGCATACTACAAGTTATTGTTATGTGTTTCTCTGTTCTAGAATTTTCAGGGAAAGATAAAAGTATTAAATAGCAAACATACTCGATACGCCAAACGATCCAACATCACATATACAGGGTGTCCCATTTGAATCTCGCCACCTCAATATTTCGAAAACTGCGCAATCTAGGAAAAGTTTCGAAAGGTTGAAGGGTCGGGATGATGTACTTGACTTATATTCAAGGTCATTTCAAGATCAAGTGAATGTTTTCAAATGGAACCCCCCCCCTATTTCACATCACATGAATTGAAGAGAGAAGCAAATTTACATCATTTTAGCCATGACTTTGACCATTGCCATTAAAGGCCAATTCCAGATCAGATCAAAACATTAAAAATAATTTGTTTGTGGGGATCACCGGAAGGTGACCTTGAGCATGACCATGATATTCATGGTCAAGTCAAATTTTCCAAAGGAAACCTCTCATTTTTATACTGGAAATGGAAAAAACAGGAACATTTACCTTGACTTTAAATAACATTTGGGCTTGACATGATATTTACTTCGTAGTTACATTCAGACTTAAAATTTCCTCCTTTTTCCATGTCTACTAACAATTGGTAGATTTATTTTTTAAATTTTGACTTGACCTTGAAGATCATCGACAAGGTCGCCATGGGTGATCCTCACAAATGAGCTGTAGAGCATTTCTGCTAAAGCAAATTGTTTTCGATGTCTTGATATGACCTTGAAGGCAACGATCAAGGTAATCTTCGGACGCAAAAGCTCCTCTTTTCAATTCCTCTGTCAAAAAGAGGAATCCATTTGAAAATATTCACTTGACCTTGAGTTTTAAAATATTTAGGTGGGGAGATTACTTACTTCTTAGGCGGAAGAAACCAGATTTGTACGTCGTATCATTGAAGAATTGTTTCACTCAGCCCTCGTAAATTGAAAATAAAAAATCACCCAACTGTTCCACCTACCTGTAGGACTGTATAGCTTCGGGAATATTCCCTGAATCCTTGTGGATGCTAGCCAAATTACTGTGCGCATCCGCAAAAGCGGGGTTGATCTGAATCGCGCGGGTGTAGCATTGCAAAGCCCCCGCAACGTCTTGCATTTCCTTCAACGTGTTGCCCATATTAGAATAAGCGTCGGCAAACGTCGGCTGGATCCTGATTGCTTCCTAAACATTGCAAAAATCATTTGTTTAGACTAGATATAATAAAGCTTTATTGCTAAGAATTCACATTTTCAACAAGTTGGCGTTTAGTGTTTAGCTAGCACACAAGTGCGGAAGTTGTAGAACATATTTCGTACAGTGGAGGGACGCGCGGTTTCTATAGAGTGTTATTAACTATGAAATAATGTTTTATTTATTTATTTATACATAATTGCCCAACAGACTAATCCAATTACAGGGCAATATAAATGTTCATGCAAGAACCACATAAAACGAATGTAAAAAAATAACTATTGTTACAGTCCTTGAAGTTTGACAACATTTTACTGATACAATCGAAATTAGTGTCAGAACTGTGTGCTATGGAATTATATAAATTGATTATAGAATATACCGGAATATAAAATAATACGTTGGTACAGAAGGTATTGCAATAGAAAGTTAGTTTTGAATTTAAACGCGGTATACAAACATTCAACGTCCGAAGAAATTCTGGTGGATCTACTTTGTTGTGCAAAAACTTATGGAGGAGTGTCAGGCCGCCAATGGAACGTCTTAATTGTATAGACTCTAGGTCTGAATTGACTGACCCTCCTTTCGGGATACACGCCTTCAATTTTACAAGTGCAATATTCAAGAAACTATCTTAGTACATTTTCTAAGATATTTAAAAAAAGCTAAGCCTAAAATACTCTTCGAAGTTTGATCTTTAATCAAGATACTCGGCAACTTTGAAAGTAATGAACAGTTTGGAGCAAGGTTTCTAACGGCCTTTTTTCTAGATGATTCAAAAACCATAAAAAACTGTAGAGAGCGAACGGTAAATCGACGGCCAAAAGTTAAAAAAAAATATCGCTTTTGAATCCAGATTTTTTCAACAATGCATAATTCGTCTTTTGACGGCTCTACATGGGGCGTTAATGTCTATTAAATCAAACGTCAAAAGGTGTATCATCGAACAGTGCCACGTTTTAAAATCGATTTCGCAAACATGCTCACGATGTTGGGTCCGCCATTTGGATTCTAGGAAAAATCTAGACGAAATTCATTATCATCGACCTTTAAAACATGAAAAACTTGAATTTGAGGACATTCCAAACATTTTTTTGCAAACATGTCCGCCTCATTAGATCCGTTACTTTGATGTTTGGATGGAATGGATATCATATTCGTGATCGGCGACTCCGAAACAATATAAATAAAGTTTTATTGGTGAATTTTGTTGATTTTTTTCTAGTTTTGGTCACGTTTTTGGACTTTGGAACCACTATTCGTCCTCTCTTATTCTCTTAATTATGAAAAAACAGGTCAAATACCTATTACGAATTCGAGGTTTTCGCCTCGTTCAGAGTAGAGGAAACGCATAGGGAATGTTGAAATGACTTTTTTTTTCTTTTTTTTTTGGCACTAGGACATTGCGTCCCATTAGCCAGATCCAATTTTTGTACACAGGGTGACTTGTAATGTCACGTATTCCTGTTAAGGGGTGATAGATTAGGTCAAAAGCAACCGATCTTGTCCTATCATGTCTTATCCAAAAGTTAACCATTTTTGAGTTATTTGAATTTTAAGTTTTTTATTTTTTATTCCGATTTCAGACGGTTAAAATTGAAATACAAAAAACTGCATGCTTGATTTTGGGTTTTTTGTTATCGTCGCATAGCAGACATTCCAATAGTTCATAATAAGTAATAAAATGTTGAAAAGCTACAAACGTTTTAAAATTACGCTTTTTAAATGAATCATTTTCTTTTTTTACTAACTTATTCGATAAAAAATGCAATTTTCTGTAAAAAATCTCCCAGTAATGAAATGTGCAAATTATGTAAATAATATCTCTATCTAACAAGCTTTCATTTGAGGTATTAAGCGTTTAATTATCTGAAGTACATGCAGAGAAACAACAATGACACCCACAGAGGCTGGATTTTTAAGGAATTTGTATTACCTGTTTGAACAAGTCGTTACTGTCCTCAAAGGACTCGCATGCCATGATTGTTTTATGGCATCGGCTCGACGAGGAAGCGAGCGAGAAGAGCTGACTTAGTGGAGGAGTGAGAGAGAGAGCTGTGATTATTCATAGTGATGCTGGTCGACCCCGAGTCTATCCTCCTGAAGATGAAGAGGAAATCCTTCGTGTGTTTCAGGAAGACCCTACTACGTCTATGCGCATTGTGGCTGCTCAGTTGGGTATATCACAATACAAAGTATGGTTTACTGTGCATACTGCAAGATTATACCCTTATCACTACACGCCTGTGCATGTGATTGAAGAGGGCGATCCTGCAAGACGATTAGATTTCTGCAGGTACATGTTACATGCAGATACAGAAGATGCCAAAATTCTGTGGACCGATGAATCGAAGTTTGATAAGGACGGGATCACTAACTACCATAATGCTCATTACTGGGCTGATAAAAAAGCTTTAAACCCCCGAAAAATAAGACCGACGGGGTCTCAGAGCCGGTTTTCAGTCAATGTGTGGATGGGCATCATTGATGGATATTTAATTGGACCTCATTTTCTGCCCGCCAATTTAAATGGCGAAGTGTATGAAGAGTTCTTGAAAAATCACTTGTTTCCATTAATGGAAGACGTCCCATTGGCGACGAGACAAAATATGCGGTTCCAGCACGAAGGCTGTCCCGCACACTACAGTAGATTAGTATTTAGAGTCTAAATTTCCAAATCAATGGATTGGCAGAGGCGGGCCCATTGTCTGGCCAGCAAGAAGCCCAGATCTCACACCGAGGGATTACTATGTGTGGGGACATATGAAAAGCCTGGTGTACGATGGAGGATAATCAGTGCAGCTGACCAAATAAAAAGCCGCTTAACAACTAGAGTTATCAAAAGTGAATTACGTAAGAGAATGCGGGCGTGTATTCGTAACACGGGATTACAATTTGAGCAGAATCTGTAAAATACTAAAGGAAATGTAATTAAATAAAACTGTAATTAAAATAAAAGCCTTTTATTTATTCTACGTAATTATCGTTCGTACAACTTTACTCATCTTTTTTTTAATTTTATGTCTTTGTACTTGAGTTAGTTGTAACTTATATACCTCAAATGACAGCTTGTTAGATAGAGATATTATTTACATAATTTGCACATTTCATTACTAGGAGATTTTTTACAGAAAACTGATTTTTTTATCGAATAAGTTAGTAAAAAAATAAGAAAATCATTCATTTCAAAAGCGTAATTTTAAAACTTTTGTAAGTTTTCAACATTTTATTACTCATTATGAACTATTGGAATATCTGCTATGCGAAGACAACAAAAAACTCAAAATCAAACATGCAGTTTTTTTGTATTTCAAATTTAACCGTCTGAAATCGGAATAAAAAATAAAATTCAAATAACTCAAAAACGGTTAACTTCTGGATATGACATTATAGGACAAAATCGGTTGCTTTTGACCTAATCTATCACCCCTTAACAGGAATACGTGACATACAAGTCACCCTATATGTATATCTCTAATTATGGACAAACACACGGCGTCACAAAATCCATGGCGAAGGCGAGATTCGAACTCGCGGCCCGGCCGGCCGGCTGATCAGTAGCACGACACTCTGACCCACGCGGCCAACCGAGGTCCCATTTTGAAATGAGTTGAATAAGGTTGAGTCTTTAAATTAGTATGCTATATTAGTACCTTGTAATGCATGAGTGCTTCATTCAGTTTGCCCTGTTGCTGAAGCACCGATGCCAGATTGCTGTGCGCGGCTGCAAACTCCGGAAACACCTCCAACGCTTTGAGGTACAATCTTGTCGCTTCCTCGATGTAGCCCTGTTCGCGTTTGATGTTGGCCAGATTGTTGAGCGAATCGGCGTGTGAGGGACATAAACGTAGGGCAGTGTTGTAGCACTCTTCGGCTTCCGATACTTGGCCCTGGAACAAGGTAAAAATCAATTGTTGAAACGTTGAAACTACACCATTAATGTTAAATTTCTATGCCCACTGGATGGGTGGTACTACCGCGGTTGATGACGTTACGTAATTTGGCCGACAGAATTCTAATATGTCACATTGAAACAGCATTTTTGTAATGCAAAATTAAAAGTTTCATTCCTATAATAGTATATTTTTTTAATACTTGAGGCACCAAGTCGGCGTCAAGTGTAAATACCCGTGGGTACCATGAAAGGTATACTGCTGTACTTGATAAAAGGCAGTAAAGTTCATTTACTATTTTTTCAAATTTTGACACCAATACACTTCTTTTATGGTTACAGTCACAAAATATTTCAATAATCACGTTATTTGACAAAAAAATATTTTTTCACTTTGTCACATATCTCATACTAATTACATTTCGTAAGCATAAAAGTAAATCATTTTATCAAAGTAAATAAGCCGTAGTTTTTAAACTATTATTCTCTGTACCATACAAGTACTGCATTTTTACCATTTATAACCCAGTTGTCAATAAGTTAGTAATCACCGTTATAAATAATTACTTTTTCTCCGAAAGAATAATTTAGAAAAATGTTTGTTTAACTTAAGATATAAGAAATCACGCTGTTTTTACTTTATTTAAATAGTTGTTTTGTTATATATAATTATTGAATGAAATTATATAGTTATAAATTGGATTGTTAGCTGTTGAAAAGATTTACTCTTGAGCCATTTATGCGAACTTCAATATGAATAACTTACATATACTCTATTTCTATTCTATATTACTGCGTTCATTTGAATTAATATAAATGGATTATCAAAACTACGAAAAAGGCAGTGAATTTGTTTCTGCAGAGTACAAAAAAAGTAAATCACTGCTTTTTGATTTACGAGTTTGTCCGGAAGGTAATTCTCATTTTCTTCCGCCATGACTGTACTTCGGAGCGTGCGCGCACCGACTGGATTCGGTAGAGGGCGTTCCTAGCTAACGAATGAGCGGCTGGTCAGTTGTCTCCGAGCACTTGGAGAGTCAGGACAGGCATTTTCGCGCGACGTGTTTCTGTGAGTGGTGCAAGCCGAAAATGCAGCGTTCGTTAGAGCAGAGGTACGCGATTAAATTCTGTGTGAAACTCGATAAATCTGCGACAGAGACGTTTGATATGATCAAGCAGGCTTACCCAGGTGTTGCTTTAGCAAGAAGTGGTGTGTTTCGGTGGCACCAGGCCTTGTTGGAGGGCCGGGAAGAGGTCGCTGATGAAGACGGTGCTGGAAGACCTTCGACTTCGACAAACACCGATAATGTGACTCGTGTGCGCAAAGTTTTGAACTCAGACCGTCGACTAAGTATTCGTTTAATTGCCCAGATGTTAGATTTACCAAAATCTGTGGTTCATGACATTGTGACACAGCATTTGAACATGCGCAAGGTGTGCGCGAAGATGGTCCCAAAAGTGCTCACTGACGACCAGAAATTGCGGCGAGTGGAAGTGAGCCAAGAAAATTTGAACATGTGTGAAAGTGACCCCCAATTTTTGAATAACGTAATCATAGGTGACGAGTCGTGAATCTTTGAGTATGATCCCGAGACAAAGAGGCAATCTTCCAAGTGGCACACGACGGCGTCTCCTCGCCCAAAAAAGGGAAGAATGAGCAAATCCAAAGTGAAAACGATACTCATTGTCTTTTTTGACATCAAAGCCATCGTCTACCATGAATTTGTTCCTCCTGGACAAACCGTCAACGCCAAGTTTTACGTGGAAGTGTTCAGGAGACTCAAACGAAGGGTCAGTCGGGTCCGACAAGACATCGCAACCGACTGGAAGTTGCACCACGACAACGCCCCGGCTCACATCGCCTTCCTTGTGAACAGCTACCTGACCATTGGCGGCATCCCAACGCTCCCGCAGCTGCCCTTCAGCCCAGATGTCCCCCCCCCCCCGGACTTTTTTGTTTCCTCGCCTGAAAAGGCCGATGAAAGGCAAGCATTTTGAGACGACAGAGGGGATCCAAGCAGCATGCACCGCGGCTCTCAAGGCTATTCCGGAGAATGCATTCCGTGACGCCTTCAATGCTTGGAAATCGCGCTGGCAGCGCTGTATCGAAGCAGAAGGAGCCTATTTTGAAAGTTTTTAAAGAATTGTAACGATTGGCTCAATAATTTTTTTTAAATCGACTCAGTCCTATTACTTTCCGGACAAACCCTGTATGTGCATGTGACATGTGAAGATTAACCACTTTATAAAATCCCATGTTTCGTATACGTGATTCTTTGTACTCTAAGTACAATTCAAATGAGAATGCGGTCATCAACGCCTTTTGAGTGTCCTAAGGTCTCCTTAGGTTAAAAAGGGCATCCAAAATGGGCCGTCAAAAAACACCAGAAGCGAAATATTGCAGTCCTAGCGTCAAATTGACTTCAGATCCGGATTCCGGAATCAACGCTTCCGATTTACCCAGAAATAAAATAGTTGTGTAGTTGTGTGCTGAAAGTTCAAGCGAACAGCTATAAGACGGTATTATTGCGCTTTTATTAGAGCAAGAGGGAATTGTATACAAAAGCTCTTACAGATTTGATTATATCTTAAGAAGGTCGTGATAAGCGAATACAAGCACCATGGAATAGACGTAATTACTAAGCAACTCTAGATGCTGACATAATATATTCGTTAGTCGAAGCTATTGAGACGTAATAACGTTATTTCCTTGGTATCCACAAGTGATGAATACAAGATGACAATCTAGCAGTAATATTATACAGTTTTTAAATATCCCTGACTTTCTCGCTTTATGGTCAACTTTTTAAGCCATCAAATTATAGGCGAATGCTAGACGTTCAATATTTACTGCGATTTGTCAGAATTTGACATAAAGCGTTATATTTATCGAAACATAATAACTATGAAGGAGTTGAAACAAGACAGCGCAAAGTGCCATCTATTATCACAATCGACCACTGCGAAGGTGTATAGCAGTTATCGGTTAGTGGCCACTGAAACCGCTGTAGTCTGACGATTCTGGCGGTATTTAAGACGTGGTCGACTCGCCATTGAATACTAAACAGGCATCCGATCACAGACATGGATAGCTGTTTCGTGCTTTTTGGCCACCCATCAGCATGGTCTAGGCTTGGTCTCTGGGACAACTAACGAAAGCATAGCAACTATCCTCTGTCTCCGAGGTATCAGATTATAGAGTATAAGTTATTAGGCGGGTAATAAACCAATGGAACAATTTTATTTTTCACAAAAGCTAAAGTCTTTGATAAAACTTTTTGTTGTCATAAAAATCAGTGTCTTTCATTTGTAACCACTTGATACTGGATATGGGATCCATAAAATAAAAGGGCCTTAGTGAGTGTTTCGTTACCTTAAAAGTTTAAGAACCTCTGGCATGGAGTAATCTTGGAAGTCAATATTGATTGATGCATAAGGTTACGTAGAAGATACTGACAGCACCATGGATAAATACTGATGTCACGGATTCCAATAAATACTGATCGAGTAGTACGAGGGACACTAGAAAAGAAATCTACCTAGCCATGAAAAAGACAACTGAAACGCAACAAGCATTATACTATGTAAAATAGTGGCATGTGTTGTAACCTTACTTGCGAAATTGGAATTCATTTGATAATTAGTTTCCAATTTATAAAGTGAATTGTGAGGTAAAATGAGTACCTTAAAATTATAATACCGCAGTTTCATAAATTTTCTTACAAGAGGGCCATCAGCCGAAAACAATTCTTGAGAGAATGGTTGTTGTCTAGCGGGATCACGCACCATCTGTTAGGTACTCAATGAAATTCTAGACTAAACAGATTAAGTAAGTGGAAGACCCAAAACAGCAACAAATGATAAAATGACTTAAAAAGTTGAAGCCATTGGTTCTCGAAGATCATCATGTGAAGGTCTCTAGCATTAGTAAGGCATTGAATATATCGGAACCCAGCGTAATAACAATCTCGCACGACAATATGAACATGAGTAAGGTGTCAGCCAGGTGGGTTCTACAATTGTTGACAGTTAACGAAAATTGCGCAGATTGGAAATTTCGAAAAGTTATTTGGAAACTTTGACTAAGGATTCTGACTTTTTGGCACAAATTTGATGGTCGACGAGACTTGGGTGCATCATTGGGATCCTGAGACAAAAACAGAATCTCAGCAGTGAGTTTATAAAGGGTAAAATCTTCTTGGACGCTGTTTTGACGCAGATGATGGCTTAAAAGCAGCCGTCGACTTTTTTGAAGAGTCAAGAGGAAACATTTTTCATAAGGGGAGGAGAAATGGCGCAAGTGCGTTGTTGTAGGGAGGGGATTATATTGAAAAATAAAATTATCAAAAAAAAATTTGTTTCGTGACTAGGTAGATGTCTTTTCTAGTACCTCTTGTATTTGCCTCTCAAATATTCTTAAGTATCTTGCTATTTCATTTACTCTTTAAACCTCCACACGTCTAAGTATACATTCCTGATTATACAGTTTAATGCCTATCTGACCTCCATTTTATTTGCTAAATTGGATGGCCCAGTATAGCTGAATGGAATAGTGCGTGGGCATATATGAGAAATGAAACTGCTCGAGAAATTCCAGTTCAGAAAATCCATACATGCTTGAAGAAAAGGTATTTACGAGGAACAATATATAGAGACGTATAGGCGTAGCAAAGAAGATCATAAACGAAATATTACTTGAGCATTTCTGATGTGAAAAGTTTTCGTGAAAGGTCGAAATAGTGCCGATATTTTAGGAGCAGATAAACATATGTCAATGTAACCCTAAATACGACTGATTTCATATCTATGGTTTCGTTTAACTGACGTTATACCGGGTATTTCAAGTTCGACTCTCACCATTGGCAAGTCGGAAACGGTAAGGCATTCCCAATAAAAAGCACATTAACATTGCTATTTTATCTCCTCTACAAGATGGCATAATTACAATTTCAATATTACGTTTCGTCTCTTATCCTCAATCATCAACTTTATGGACAGCATATTGGATTTTTACGCAGGTGAAACGAGGTCGTATAAAAAATACGAATTTCCGGAGCAGGCTTTGAAATTATCTGATAGTCATTTATTTCATAATATTACCAGCCAAGCATTCTTCCAGTTTTTATGAACTAGGCATAGGCGAACTGACCATATTTCCGATTTTATTGATGTGTTATCACAAAACATACCTTCAGTTGATATTATAAAACTTCAAATGCCTAAAAAAGTAATCTTCCTATACTCAACTCATCGCATAAAGAACCCTTTTCATATCCTTTGAGGGTAGTATTGAAAACATTGAAAATAGTGCTAATTTATGTAAACATTTTAGAATAAATAAAACCCTAGATCATTTTGCAGCTTCCTAAATGCATTTTATATCTACCATATCTAAGCCGATGCACACATCTTGCACTCAAATACAATTGATTTAAGGCTGAAGTGAAATGTAGAGTGACTCAATCGTGCTAAAATAACACTTGTTTTAGCAGATAAATAGGCAAATTATCTGAATGCTCTACACGCTACTAAAAAAACTGAAGCATTGATAATTTAATCGGATAAACACGTGGTATACTGTCATTTCCAATGCTAACGATGAAGATATTAGTTTGTATTGGGTTTGACAATGTCAATGATGGTAAATATTTTTGAAATGAGAATCAAACACCCGAGCTAAAATCATAAGACAAAATAAATATCGAGGACGAGAGACTAAACGTCATACTGAAATTCCACTCATACCATCTTGTAAAGCAGAAAAAGTGGCAATGTTATTGTGCTTTTTATTTTGAAATCCAATCTGAAATAAAATCAGAAAAAAATTAAAACGATTTTTGGAAAATTTAGTTTTGCCCCCATTTAAGCGACGTCGTATCTCTTATCGTTTCCGAGATCCGAATGATGGGAGACCAATTTAAAAGATCCGGTATATCATTATTTACATCACATCTTGGCAAGATCGCAATGATTTTATATCGACCTCCCTTGTAGATAATCGTTTCGCCTAGCGTCCTCCGGCAACAACCTTATTTTTTCTTAAAGGATATTTATACTAACCTAAAACAACAGAAAATATGTGTTTAGGAAGTCAATTGTAACAGTTATACAGGAAAGCTAATTTCCCAAGTGATTTTGAAAACACTCTTTCGATAGATGCTGAAGAACCTGTGGCAGATAACAGTTACTTAACGCTGGACAGTACTTTCTGAATAGCATCGAGATTCTATTGGCATTTCCACCAATTTAAAGTTTTTGAAGTTTTGGGAATTTCTTCATCAAATATTATATCGGTAAAAGGATTTGATTTTGCCAGGCATTGAACCAACTGGAAAGTAGAAGTTTTGCGGCTTTCAAGGTACAACACTTTTCTTCGTCTGCTAATAGATGTGGTTTTGTCGGATCAAGAAGATATGCTAACACATGATATAAAGTCATGCATTGTTCGTATCGGTGTCCAAATTTCTGCCTCCTAAAACGCTGAGTCGATATTTTTGACTTCTTGTACGACATCAGAAAGCGTTGCATCAGTTCTTTGAAGCCTATCAATGGCAACATAAATAGGTTTCGGAATCGCTAAATAGTCTTCAGCAGATCTTTTCAGGTCATTTCAAAGTTCATTATTGTCATATTTAAAGAAAAAATCAGTACAGATTAATTAAAATTTAAAAAATCACTATCTAGATTTAACCGAACAAATCAATTTTTTGATTTCTCCAAAAGAAATCACTATTTTTTGCAACACTACCCAGTCAGAATCGGAGAATTTTTCTTATGCTTATTTCCACACAGGCGCGAGTTTCAATTGGATTGGTATCTTGGATGTTTATCAATGGTTAGAGAGTCACGAAACGATATACTTTTCTTTCGACTTCTCACACAGAATTCAAGCTTACCTTTTCCTTGAGGGCGTTAGCCAGATTGCAGTAGGCGTCCGGGAAGTTTGGCTGTAGTTCGATAGCCCTCCGGTAGGTGTCGATAGCGAGGTCGATGAGTCCCTGCTCGTAGTAGACACATGCCAGATTGCCATGAACCACAGCATTGTTGGGGGATAGGTTCAGGGCACGTAAATAAGCCGCTACCGCTCTGAAACAAAAAAGAAAACTGTAATAGGGCACTCATTTTTTGAGAAAAAAATAACCAAAAATAAGATAACGCCATCTATCACACCATTATCGTCCACAGATGATTCTGGGCATAGTTCAGGTGACAGTGAGAAGGGCAAACAATATCCTCCGACTGATAGTAGTTCTGATGCGAATAAATAAATTTGTGCCTTATGACTTTACTGCCATTATAGATGGGGCGTGCTGTTCCAAATCTAAAAATGAACACATAAATTATATTTATAAGACAAACCATTTTTAAATTACCCTTGAGTACAACTTTTTGTAGCAGTCACAATATTTTGAAAAATGAATTTATTCTACGAAAAAGCATTATATTTTTCGATTCGACAGGTTAAAACTAATAAAAACCTAAAACGCAATTTAGATAATGGATCTGTTATAGCGCCAGTATTTACCCATAAAGTTTGGAAGATGTATATGATGTGTTTTTTAAAACTTTCCATCCATGATTTTCCATTCAAAAGCAGATATTGCTCAGCCAAACCTTTATCACAGTCATCGAAGTAAACTAAAAATGTTTTTAAATTTAACGCGATCATGGAAATCAATGTGTTTTTAGATATTTACATATTTTACTACACATCTAGTTAAAGTACTTGCCAAGTAGATTAGTCGTAGTTTGATTAGGTTATCTCATCCATCGCGTTTGCTCTGATCGATAATTAAAGCCACAGATGCAGCATTAGTAGATAATCTAAACGGAAAGAGACAACCCCGGGATGAGTTTCTAAAGTTACATCAAAGCAAATCGCACATGCGACCTAAATAGAACTTAGAGTTGTTACAATTAAGATGTTTACGTATTATACAGTATGTATAATTCTACTATCAACAGTTCAAAACTAAATGATTAATGAAACTGTCAACCCCGTAACAATATATATATATATATATATATATATACAGGGTTATCCAAATTAAGTGTCCACCATTAGTAACTTTGTTATTAGTGAAAATACAAAGTTGTTTGAATTAGCAAACTAGTAGCATTTTTAACGCTGGTAAAAATGAGAAATAAAAAAAAACAATTGAGAGTCGTTATTTTGATTTTTTTCAGTAAAATAACATTTTTTTAAATGGAAACTCCTGTATATTATATTTTTTTCTGTTAAAGCATCAAATTTTAAACAAAAAAGTTCATAATGACTTTTCCGCTAAAGTCAAAAATAAAGTCAAAATAACGATAAATATTTTTAATTATTTGCAGTATTATAATATTAAGACGGCTATGAAAACAACATGGCGTTCGCGATTTGACAGCATTAAGATAAGCGACAAATTGTTAAACTGGACATACTCGCAACTAGAAGGCTTTGGAAAACAATGATAAAATCAAATAATGTCAAACATTAGTGTAAATACTTGTTTATAAGCTTTATTGTGTCATTAATTTAAAGAAAAATGTTCTCCCATGAAGAAAAGTGTGATATGTTAGAATGTTATTTAGTGTGCAGAAAATCCTCCTTGAGAGCAATCCTCCCGCTCGCATTCAACCGTATGAACGATATTTTCTGAGACTTTATCGAAAATTTAGGGGCAACGAAAATGTTTTTGCTAAAACAAGGGCAAAAAAAGAATTCATAATAAGCGAGGCCACGGAAATTGCAGTTATTGGATATTTTGAAGCTTATCCTGAGAATTCAATAGCAGATATTCTCAAGGACTCTAATTTCAGTTATGGTACTGTTCAAAGGATTTTAAAAAAATACAAATTTATTCCGTATAAGTACCGACCAGTTCAAACGCTTTTGGCAGGGGATCCAGAGAGAAGACTTGTTTTTTGCCATTGGTATCTTAGCTTCTGTCGCCAAAATGTAAATAACTTTCGTTACCATTTATGGACAGATGAATCAAATTTTTCAAATTCTGGAATGTTTAATAGAAAAAACCACCATTATTGGTCAAGAGAAAATCTTTTGTTAGTACATCCAAGAGGCCCACAAGTCCGTTTCAGTTTCAACGTTTGGTGCGGTATAATTGGTTCAAAAATTGTTGGCCCGTTCTTTTATGAGGGAACCCTAACTGGTGAAAGATATGTGGAATTTATGTCAGAAATTCTGACTAATTTCTTAGACGAATTGGATCTTATAAGTAGACATCATCTGCATTTTCAGCAAGATGGCGCACCTGCCCTCAACTCCAGAGGTACTTATCATTTTCTAAGTACAACTTTTAATGATCAGTGGATAGGAACAAATGGCCCAATACAGTGGCCTCCCAGATCACCAGATCTAAACCCACTTGATTACTTCTTGTGGGGTTACTTAAAGAACCAAATTTACAAGCGAAGGTACGATAACCTTGACGCGTTAAAGACTGCAGTTAGGGAAAAGATAACCCAGATAGATGGTAGGACCATACTTAAGACAGTTCGAGCAGTTGAAAAACGTGCCCAAAAATGTATTGAAGAACAAGGTGGTGTTTTCGAGCATCTTCTTTAAAAAAAATTGTTATTGTATTTTGTAAGATTATAAGTTGATGTTGAAAATAAAGTTTGTCGATACAATTTAATTGTTTCAGATTGGAGGCCATAACTTCAACAATTTGTAACCTAGGAGAAAAGTTATTGTAAGCTTTTTTGTTTAAAATTTGATGCTTTAACAGAAAAAAATATAATATACAGGGGTTTCCATTTAAAAAAATGTTATTTTACTGAAAAAAATCAAAATAACGACTCTCAATTGTTTTTTTTTATTTCTCATTTTTACCAGCGTTAAAAATGCTACTAGTTTGCTAATTCAAACAACTTTGTATTTTCACTAATAACAAAGTTACTAATGGTGGACACTTAATTTGGATAACCCTGTATATATATAAGATAAGACGTTGATAGTACGATTACCATCAAAACAGCCGCCTTAGAAGATTTAAAGTACCACACTGTACCATTTTATTTTATTACAAGAGCAGTACGTAAACAATTCGATATGGGCAACAATGTCAGGATAATACGAGTATAAAAGCCACCTACTTGGTGACGGAACGGCAATGATCGTCAAGGCCAACACTTATTTTTGGGAAAAAGACTTGTGAGTATCCCCCTTATTCGACTGACTCATTAAATGACATGCACAATTCTACTAGTTACAATTACATTAGTGTAGGATTCGTCACACAGACTGAATCATAGATGATCGTCACATAGACTGATTATTGAGTCGTCACACAGACTTAATTACAGGATCATCACACAGACTGATTATTGAGAAGTCACACAGGCAGACTAGGAGTCGCACACAGACAGACTAGGAGTCGTCACACAGACATATGTACTATTTGGTCCCTAGGTGTGACAGATATGCTGAGTTTAACTACTGTTAGGAAAAGGTGTCCAGAAACTACGATATGACGTTTCCATGTCAATACCCAAAAGCTCCGACGTTACGCCTAATCCAGAGATAACCGAGCAACATGACAACTTTAAACTAACAATCCCTACACACAGCCTGCCATGCGATTCTCTCAGACTCCAGCGGTTGCCAAGAGAATATAGTTAAGCGGTCATTCAGACCTAGGATGTCATGTCAGCCAAAAGCCATCTCGTTAACATCCCAAGCGCTCCGTCATTTCCCCTGGCAGAGGAAACCGAGCAATAGAACATAGAAAAAAGGAAATACTTAGTGAATGCTCACCTTCCAAGTAACCAAAACACTACAATCAATAGCACAATAACCGTTACTCCCGCTTGCGTGTATATGAGGCCATTGAAAACTTCCCTAGGAACAAGTGCCCATAGGATGGAAAGTATAACATAAACAGGTCTAAGGGCGATCGCGTTGGTTTAATCAGACTTGTAAACCTTCTAGAAATAATTTGTGTGCAATATTTCATATGTTATTTATCTCATATTTTTTACTTTTTATAAGAAGAAATACTGTTCTGAGAAAATTCTCAAGATGTAGATACCTGAGAAATACTTCAAAAAAAGCTGGCTAAGAAGAACAGAAATATTGTTCTGCAGATATTTATCGCCAGTCGTTAGCCTATACCCAAAGAACCAACATCTATCTGGCAGAAATGTATTTACTATTACCAACTATTGTAGAAACTCGCAAGTACCTGAAGATGGCGTTTAAAGGCGCCGAAACGTCATATTTTTGATAAATGTTTCAAGTTGACCAAATCCCAAGAATTTATAACTTGAATTGATATCAACGGTCCGGAATACAAAGCTGCAAAGTTATTCTAGGCCTGGATGAAAATGGACCTCAACAGAAATAATGATAGGAAAAAACTATTAAGATGATACAGAAGACTTCAAAAAGGGTTGCTAAGAAGAATAGAAAAATGTTTCTGCAAATAGTTATAGTCAGTCGCTGACCTACATACACTCAAACTACCAACAACAATAGAAATGAAATTATAGTCGAAATCACGAAAAATGACGATTACGTCATCATTTTAGTCTGTAGTGAAGACAAACGACAGCGATTTGTGAATATATTTAATGAACTTTCTGATATGCCAGACAGAGACAAACAGACAAATATTCTCTAAACAAACTGTATTGCTAATTTGCATGTATCCGACAATGATAGACGATGTTTTCATGTTGCATGATCGATCATATTTGAAAGATGAATAGTTAGGTTATGTTAAAGCAGGTTATGTTATTTTGGAATAATGCTTTGGTCTTTAATTTTATTGTCTTGAGGTATTCTACTCATTATAACTGTTTTTATTTCAAAACAAAAGTCGCCACTAAAATTATTAAGGTATCACTCAAAACCATGAAATAAAATGAAAATAAAAATAATCAGTGAAATAACCTAACTTTGCGAAATCATAATATAAATTTGTTGTCATTATGTTTCTGACTCGTGATTTTATCATCGACGTACGTCCATTGATTACTTCAGTACAATTTATGGTATGACGTAATAGTCATCTTTCGTGATGTTGACTATATGTTTACCATTTATTCTAGAAACTCACATGTGTCTGAAGATGGCATTT